GCAAGTTTTACTTGTGACATCATAAACAAAATATCACAAGTTCTGGGATTAAAGGCATGCACCACTATGCCTGACCATCTCTGATGAATTAACCAGGACCCTTTTTAGTATGTTGATGCCACCTCTACTACGGTCCGTATCTACACAAGGCAATGAATGACTCTTCTAAAATGGCACTATCTGCAATGACAGGGTTAGAAACTAGGCCTTAAAGAGAAGGAACAAAGTGAAAAACATCAAACAGGTCTGAATTAACAAGATGGGTCTTGACCGAGAAAAATCAGAGAGGCACACTGGTAGACACACCCCATTCCACACAGACTGTGTTAAAAAGTACATGCCAAAAGAAACTGTAAACCATGGATGGTTAACCTCCAAAGGTCACTGCACTATGACAGTAATGGCTGACACTTGAAAGATGAGGTCATTAAGAGAATGTGATGACACAATAAAGGTCTCAGAAGTTTGAAGCCTCCAGTAGTGGGCCAAGAGCTCACAGGTCAGTGGGAAGCCAGTCACGAGCCTGGAAGGACACGTGAGGAGAGCTGTGTTCTCCCTGGCCCAGCTGGCTGCACCTTCTGCCGCATTGCGGATCCCTGGTTCACTTGACGACAACACAGCAGGTTAGAAGTGGCTCTGTCCATCTTTGTTGTATACTGAGTAATATAAGAGGGTTAAATATTCATATCAAACTCACTACTCACTACTTTAGTTGTAGAGTTCTGTGGTTTACAGTGTTGTGGAAAGGACACCACTGTCCATCTTTCCCAACTGAAATGTTGTCCTCATTGAATGTTCTTTCTCCCTTCTCGCTGCCCTGGCCCCTAGCCACACCACTGGCCCAGGGAACCCCTTAGTAAAAATCACAGAGCACTTAGCCTTCTGTGATAGTATTATAATTTGGATGTGATCTGTCGAGGCAAAAAGCTTACATGTCCCTAGGTATCTAGGCAGCAGTGCTTTTGTGGAAGGTTCTGAATACTTGAGAATTGGGTCATAGCTGAAGCAAGTAGACACGAGTGAGGGTGCCTTTGAAGGTTTTACTTCATCCCTGGTCCCCCCTCTCTACTTCCTGTCATCATGAGGTGAGTAGCCTCTGCTTCTTGGTCTCACCACAGTGACTTCCTGCCTAACCACACACTTGACTCAACACAGCCAAGGTCTATGGGCTCCTGAAACTAGCCAAACCAAATTTTGCATCCCTTTAATTTGTTCTCTCAGGTATTTGGTCACACAGAGGCTTTGGGCTGTGACATTTCAAGTTAATGTTTATTTTTTAACATTCCCATGTTGGGAAAGGTACAAGTTCCCAGCTTGGTGTTCAGATCAGCCTCACGGCTGTTTTCTGTGTCCTGGTATCCTGTCTCCTAGATTATGTGCTCTAAAACCAGAATAGCTGTACAACTTGAACATCCTCATCACTTGGGATAGGCCTCTTTCTGGAAAGGGTTTGTTAAATACATTGAAACCTCCCTGGATCTCACTATTTGTTTGACATCCTTTATGACATCATTGTCTAAGGAGCCCTCCTGGGTATTCTGGTCTCACGTGTCATAAATGGCCATTCTACTACTTCACTGTGATCTGCCTGAATTCTCTCACTATTCTTTTCCATCTGACTGGACTCAGGGTCCTTAGAACATTTGATTACTTTGAAGTTTGGGGCAAGAAGACCAGGCCTGGAATGTACAACTAGTTTATTGAATCTGTGCTGATGTCAGTTACCTTTCTAATGGGTAAAAGTGAAACCAGTTCAAGTCCACTCTGAGCTATGTAGTAAGTTTGAAATCAGTGTGGTTGTCTCAGTTGGGGTTGCAATTGCTGCAATAAAAATACCTTAACCAAAAAGGAAGTTAGGGAGGAGTTTATTTGGCTTACACTTCAGCATTGCTGTTCATCACTGAAGGAAGCCAGAATAGGAACTCAAACAAGGCAGGAACCTGGAGGCAGAAGCTGATGCAGAGGTCATGGAGGGATGCTGTTTACTGGTTTGCTTCACATGGATTGCTCAACCTGCCTTCTTATAGAAGCCAGGACCTCCAGCCCAGGGATGGCCCCACCCACACTCAGCCATTGATTACTAATAAAGAAAATGTCTTATAGCCAGCTCTTAAGGAGACATTTTTTCAACTGAGGTTCCTTCCTTTCTGATGAATCTAGCTTGTGTCAAGTTGACAAAAAACCAGCCAGTACAATTAGGTCATATGTCACATCAGACAAACAACAGCAAAGACAATGGTTCCTGAACCACTTAGGGAAATCTAGACCCAGCCTGAGGACCTTTCAAGACACCATCTTAAAATTAAAATTTCAAAAAGGTTGGGAGTATGATTCAGTGGTAGAGGGCTTGCCTAGATTGCATAATTCCATAGCTTCAATATCCACTACCAATTGATTTAGAATTTACAGTTAAAGAGAATGATGTTTATTAATATGTTTGCTGTGAGACTTGCTCTAGCCATTTCAAGAAATTTCCATTAACATTATCTCCTTCATGCACGATCCATGGTATCTCTTTTCTTCTTCTTTTTTTCTTTCTTTTTTTCCTTTTTATTAGAAAGAACATTATTTTACATGTCAATCCAAGGTACCTCTCCCTGCCCTCCTCCCCTGCCGTCCCAACTAACACCCTACCTATCCCATACCCTTTCTGTTCCCCAGGGAGGGTGAGGCCTTCCACAGGGGTTTTCCAAGTCTGTCATATTCTTTGGGATAGGGCCTAGGCCAACCCCCTTGTGTCTAGACTCAGGGAGTATCCCTCCATGTGGGATGGGCTCCCAAAGTCCATTCCTATGCTAAGGATAAGTACTGATCCACTACAAGAGGCCCCATAGATTTCCAAGATCTCCTCACTGACCCCACATTCAGGGGGTCTGGATCAGTCCCATACTGGTTTCCCAGCTATCAGTCTGGGGACAAGAGCTCTCCCTTGTTCAGGTCAGCTGTTTCTGTGGGTTTCACCAGTCTGGTCTGGACCCCTTTTTGCTCATCAGTCCTCCTTCTCTGCAACTGGATTTCAGTTTAATTCAAGGTTTAGCTGTGGGTGTCTGCTTCCATGTCCACCAGCTGCTGGATGAAGGCTATATGATGGCATATGAATTAGTCATCAATCTCATTATCAGGAGAGGGCATTTAAGTAGCCTCTCCTCTGTTGCTTAGATTCTTAGTTGGTGTCATCTTTATAGCACTACAGACATTTCCCTAGTGCTTGATTTCTCTTTAAACCTATAGTGACTCCCTCTATTATATTATCTCTTATCTTGCTCTCTTCTGTTCTTCCCCCAACTCAACCTCTCTGCCCCATCATGTCTTCCTCTCCCCTCTTCTTCTCCCTTTCTCATTCTCCTAGTTCCCTCTCCCTCCCTATGCTCCCAATTTGCTCAGGAGATCTTGTTCCTTTCCTCTTATCCAGGGGACCATGAATGTCTTTTCAGATCCTCTTTGTTTCCCAGCCTCTCCGGCAGCGTGGACTGCAGGCTGGCAATCCTTTACTCTATGTCTAAAATTGACATATTAGTGGGTATATACCATATTTGTCTTTTTGTGACTGGGTTACCTTGCTCAGAATGGTTTCTTCTAGCTCCATCCACTTGCCTGAGAATTTCAAGATTCCATTTTTTTTTTCAATTAGTACTCCGTTGTGTAAATGTACCACATTTTCTCTATCCATTCTTCAGTTGAGGGGCATCTAGGTTTTTTCCACGTTCTGGCTGTTACAAATAATGCTGCTGTGAACATGGTTGAACAGATATCCTTGTTGTATGAATGTGCTTCTTTTGGCTATATGCCTAAGAGTGGAATTGATGGATCTTGTGGTAGATTGATTCCCATTTCCCTGAGGAATCGCCATACAGATTTCCAAAGTGGCTGTTTGGGTTTGCACTCCCACCAGCAGTGGAGAAGTATTCCCCTTTCTCCATATCCTTCCAGCATGAACTATCATTGGTGTTTTTTATTTTGGCCATTCTGACAAAAATGTGATAGATTTTGCTCTTGAAAGTGAAGCCAGTGTGACAGCAATACAGGGTGTGTGTGTGTGTGTGTGTGTGTGTGTGTGTGTGTGTGTGTGTGTGTGTTTAGGGGCAGTCACCAGTAATTCCAGGATTCAAATGCATCTTATTTTATTTTGCATCTTCCCAACAGGTTTCATGATAGACATTATAAAATAAATAATATGATCATACTATAGTATGTACTTACTATTCTCCAATTTAGATTATTACCTTTGTTCCCAATGGTCATCTGTTTGACATGTGATAAGTGAAGAAATTTGCTTCAGGTAATGTACAGCAGAGCACTGTATGTATTTTCCAGGATCATATAACCATATATTACATTTAAGATTATAAATTTACTTGTTATTCATCTGTTTATTCATTTATTCATTTATTCATTTATTCATTTATTCATTTATTGATAGGTATATTGGTTTTGTAGAGACAGGAGTTCATTATGTAGCCCTTCTGGCCATGAACGTCACCACTATTATAAATAATGCTATGATGAACATCATTATGGGTAAATATTTGTGATCGAATGTCATTGTGTGTCTGGACACACGGAAGTGGAACTGTTAATGCCAAGTGAAATGGCACACGCCTTTATAATCCCAGCACTTGGGAGGAGGCAGGCAGATCTCTGTGAGTTCAAGGCCAGCTTGGTGTACAAAGTCAGTTCTGGGATGGCCAGAGCTGTTACACAGAGAAACCCTGCCTTGAAAATCCAACAAAGAAAAAAAAACCCAAAACCAAAACCAAACCAAACCAAAGTGGAACTGTGTGCACTGTTAAGCTGTCAGTAATTACGGCCCTGCTTTGAGTTTGCTCAGTCCACACTCATAATAGCACATCCTCACTTTCTCAAACATAGCTGATTCTTCCCTCTTGGTAGTTGTCCCCCAGGGAACACTGTCCTAGGCCTAAGGAAGACATAAGCCCCCCCCCCGCCCCCGCTTATGCTGTACTGTATTTCTTTGCAGTTGTCCCGCGTTCGCTGTCACCATGTTGCTGCTCAGCAGAAGTGCCAACTGTCAAGTTGGCGGATTTGCTTTGGCATCCATAGCATGGATCCTTTGCAGCGTCTCCACAGGCCTGCCGCAGTGGCGAGTGTGGTACTTGAATGAAAGCCTGTACTCTGAGCCTTCGGTAGCCTTTATAGGAATGTGGAGAGTTTGCATTTACCGCCAAACCATCAAGGTCAACAATGCCAGAGAGTGTCATGACTACACCTATCATGACAACTTTGTTCCTTGGAATATTCGTATCGTTCAACATCTGTTACTGGGCTCCAACATTCTCGGGTTATTTGGGACACTTGCCACCATTTTTGCTCTTCGGAATGTGTACACACGGAAAGTACCCAAGAATGCCACCTACAATCCGTTCATCATTTCGGCCATTCTCAACATTGTTGCTAGTACCTTCGTCCTCCTTGCTGTTTTATGCAATTATTTCTCTGTCATTCACAAAGCAGGAATTGCCTTCCCACCATATTTCCATATGCCTTTATATCCACCTAATCAGAGAATTGGAATTGCTAATGTAGTGGCAAGTCTAGCTGCCCTCATGTTTTTAGGCACTGGCATTATTTTCCTTTCGTACACTTCTCCTGTGGAAACCCAAGTATATCCTGACGTTTGAAAATTTACTTCCAGTTTATATCACCTTCCAATTCCCAGGGATTATAGCAAGGATGATTTTCTGTTTGTGTGTTTGTCTGTCTCCCTCCTTTCCTCCCAGTCCCTCCCTCCACCTTTACTCTTCCCCTCCCTCCTCTCCTCCCAGTCACTCCCACCCAAACTTCCATCTTTGTCTTCCCCCCATCCAGTCTGTTTTCTTTAAAAAAAGGAAGGAAGGCCTCTCATGTATACCATCCAGCTATGATACATCAAGTTATAGCAAGTATTTTAAATTTAAAATTTCCAAGGACTGAACAACTACACCCAAATAGCCCATGACAGAAAATGGACAAGCTTGCTTTCTATTTTATGTCTTGTTCCATTATTTCATTGGTTGGATTATGGGCTTTTGTGAAATAAAATCTTGTTCACAAGCTGATTTTGTGAGATCTGAGTTTTGATTGTTGTTGGAAAAGGTAAATAATAAGTAAACACACTATACATGGAAATGAATATTGGAATTCACTAATCTCTCACATTACTCTCTGAATCTGAGGGAGAAGCAAAAGCAGGCCTGTGTCCCCTGTCATGACAATTCTATCTTTGTAATGTTTTCCAAATCTTGTGTATATGTTACAAGACTCAGCTAATCTGAAGTTTTACGGCTTCCCTCCTTCCTTTAGCCCATTTTTTCCCCAAAGTGTTTAAATTCTGTGCATCACATCCTTTCATCCCCATATATTACAATATTATTCTCTAAAAATGGGCAGTACTTGCCTAAATATATCATGCCTTCCAAGGCCTAAATATCTTTTGTTCATTTCATGCTTTCAAATGCTTAAATATCTCGTTATCAAGCACCAAAACTTCAGTCTTGGATTGTTTGGTGACATATTCCTGGCAATATATATTTTATCCATATGCTCAAGACACTTTTGTTCTCTAATGCTTTTATTATACACAGAGGCAGAAAAGGCTCAGTCAGTAGTGGCTTCTTTCCTCACAGTAACCATGCTGCTGCTCAGGTTTTTATATTGGTGAGGACGTTTCCCCTTCCTTTCTTCAAGGGTCTGTTTTTCTGTGGAGCCCTAGACTAGCTCCACAGTGCATCATTCATACAATACTGTGTCTCAAAACTTTGTGAGCATGCTCTCGACATAATGCATTTGGTGACTCACCTCTGCTTGCAACTATACCTTACTTTGCTCACATTCTTGGCAACCTGTGGGTTTTGTTACAGGGATGATGGACAGAGGGCAGCTCCAAGTCCTGCCTGCAGCAGTAGAAGATGCAATATGCATTTTGAAAGTGTCTCTGAGTACAAGCCATCTGACCCTAAGGGAGCACAATGCCACCACAATTCCATGTCATTCTATGTTGCCTCTATTTGAGATGCTACCTTTTACATATAGTAATATCTGGATAATATGACTTTCTTAGGGTATTTGTGCATTTTTGACACAAAAACACAGCTCTCACTTTGTAAGGAGTAAGAGATAGTTTATTCTGGAACCAAATATGAGTGGCCATAGTCTGGAAACATGGGCTCAAATACCACGATCATGAAGTTTGTATCATTACACAACAAAAGAAAGTAATAGACCATGGCACTTTTTAATTTTTTCAAGACATTAAAACAAAACAAAACATGACTGAGAGTATCAAGTAGCTGACTTAAAGCAAATAAAAAAAGCAAGCAAACAAACAAAAAACCACTTTACTGTCAGCCTCCTACATTTGCCTTTGGTTTGGTAGAAGCTAGTGGTCTTTCTGTACATTCCAAAGAAGAATAGTAGTCAAACACAGGTGATGGTGATAGCTATAAAGGGAGCTGTACATTTCCCAAAATAATCTGGTTATGGACATCTAACATCCCAACTCTCCATGATCACGGAAATAAGTTCTAACAAGTCAATCAATATTGTAGAGTCTTGGTTATTGTTTTTACTGTCTGTAATCTTCACTTTACCATATTAGTGCCTCAAAACTACAGTTCTTAAATATTTTGTGTCTAGATTAGTGCAAGACTATGGTGGTTTGGATGAGAAGCAGATGTAGTTTTGTTTGGGGAGGTTAAGAAACATTTAGGAGGTAAAGCCTTGCTAGAAGTACTTTCCTCATCTGTCCAACGGGCTTTAAGAACTTCTACATATTCAGAAGGGCTCTAGCAACTTACCCATATGCTTAAGGGACTCTTGGAATTCTCACATATATGCAAAGGGATCCATGGCTTTTTGTATGCCCAAATGCCTCTGGAACCTTCCCTATCTGTTCAACAGGCCATCTGGGATCATCCAAACCTCCATAAATGGGTTTCAGATCAATCACTTCTCATGTAGGGGGATTAAGATACTCACCCTTCCTTCACCTAAGCGGGAACTGTTTTATTTCTACCAAAAAGAGCATGAAACATACTCCCTATGACAAAGGAAGCTTCAGAACCTCCCATATTAGACCAAGAGGACTTCAAGTCTACCTCTTCTGCTCAAATCTTTCCTTCTTATAAAAACAGAGCTGAAGACCCTATCACTACTTCCCATGGAAGATATAGTTTTCACATCTGCCCAAGGGGCCCTGAAACCTTCCATATCTGGGTAAGGAGCTCTGAAACCTTCTACATTTGCTCAAAGGGCTCTGATCCACATCTGCCCAAGGGTCACTGAAACCTTCCACATCTGCCCAAGGGGCTCTGAAACCTTCCACAACTGCTCAATAGGTTCTGAAACCTACATCTGCTCAAAGGGCTCCAGAACCATCCACATCTACACAACAGGGCTTCAAATTTATCACTTCTCATGGATATGTCCTCAGACATTTCCCCTCTCCCCAAGTGGGCCCCAGGCATTCTAATTCTAATATCCAATGGAGATTGACACATGACCCCTTTATACAAGAGGGCTTCAGAACATTCCCATTGGACCAAGAGGACTTCAAACCTTCCCCTTTGCTTCTGCCATATTGTGGGAAGAGGGGTCTCAGATATTCTTCTGCTAAAATAAACCTAAGTAGATCTACCACTACTCAAGGGAACCTTACATCTGCCACATCTGTCCAAAGAGTTCTCAGTCACCCTTCTACTACCAAAGAGAGCTTGAGACATTCTCTTTCTGTCCAAGGAGCTTCAAACACTCCATCTCAGCAAAAGAGAGTCTTGGGGCTTTCCATTCTGTCCAAGAGAGTAGCCAGCAATATCTTACTAACAACCAGGGCCTCAGAGTATTGTACTCTGGCCTAGAGAGCCAAACACCAACCTCTGCCTACAAAGACCTCAGATCTACCAAAGGAGACAGAAACATCTACCTTCCGTCCAAAAAGGCATACTCCTCATGAAGCTAAACTAGCATCTTCCCTTCCATCCAAGGAGGACTAAAAATGGGGAGCTGAGCCAGGCAGTGGTGGTGCACACCTTTAATCCCAGCACTCAGAAGGCAGAGGCAGGCAGATCTCTGTGAGTTCGAGACCAGCATGGTCTACAAGAGCTAGTTCCAGGATAGCCTCCAAAGCCACAGAGAAACCCTGTCTCAAATAAATAAATAAATTAAATAAATAAATAAATAAATAAATAAAAAGGGGAGCTGAGATCTGTTCTCTCTTACCCAGGGAGAACCAATCCCTCCCATAACAAACAAGGGGGTCTCAGACTTGCCCCATCTCCATTAGTAGGCCACAAATATTCCTACATTTTCCAATGCAGCCTTCTAAGAACTCTACTGGAAAATGGGATATGGAAACTTATCTTCTGTCTCCAGGGAGCCTTCAGACATTCTCACATTCTCCTTCCAATCAACAGGGCTCTGAGCTTTCCTACTCTTATGAAGGTGACATCAGATATAAGCCCTTTAATAAAAGGGGGCTCAGATTTTTCCACTCTGGACAAGGATGCCTTAGACTTGCCCGCTTTAACAAACTGGGTCTCAGACATGCTCTTTGTGACCAAGGGGAGGGCATTCAGAAATTTCCCCTCTGATCAAGGGTGGATCAGACCTTCAACTTCTGCCCAAGGGGACCTCAGACCATTGTCTTCTACCTAGGGAGTCCTCTGATCTTCCCACTCTGTCCAGTGGTGACCTGCATGGGTCCTATTCAAGAGGGGGTGTCTGTGACCTATTCTCTCTTACTGAGGGAGCTTCAGATCTTCTCCTTCTACCTCAAAGCCCTCAGACTTTTCGAGTGTTACCAAAAGGGCCTCAGACAAGCTCCATCTGACCACGGAGGCCTTTAGATCTTCCACTTCTGGTCAATGGTGAATCAGACCTATTGCCACCCAAGGAGGCCTCAGACCTTCCTCAATGGACCAAAGAGGCCTCAGACGTATACTTTCAGAACTGGGGGGAATTCAAATCTTTGACTTCTGCCAAGATGGCACTAGACATGCCTCCAAGATCTCTTGGCCAAGAGATCTAACCAGTCTGAGCAAGGGAGCCTGTGACCCACTTAATAGGGTCTTGGACATGACACAACTAACAAAAGGAGCCTCATATACTCCACCTGTATGCAAGAAGGCCTCAGAACTTCCCCTTCAGCCCAAAATAGCCTCAAATATGTCCCCTCCAACCAAGTGGGCCTCAGGATATTCTACTCTCCTCAAGCAAGCCTCAAACATTTTCTCTCTGAATGAGAAGACTTCAAACTTCTTTCTAAGGGAACTTTATAGTTTCTTTCACCACGGGGGCCTTAGAATCCCCACCACTGTGCGAGAGAACCTGAGACCTAGCTCCTCTCATCAAAGTCTCTGAAAGTGTCAGAGGTACCATTTATGCCCAAGAGGTCTTCAGATCGACTCCACTAAGGGAGCCTTAGACCTTTCCCATCTGCCAAAAGGGACTTTAAGTCTATTCCCTCTAAGCAAACCCAACACCTTCATGTTTTGCTTAAGAAAAACATATGAACACTCTCTATTAACCAAGGAAACTTCAGATAGTCCCTTTCTGCACAAGGGGGTGGTGATGGGAGGGGCTGAGACATGTCCTTCTGATGATGTGGGCTACTGACCTGGCCCTGTGACCCAAGTGATCTCTGACCTTCATTCTCTGCTCATGGGTGCTTCAGACATCCCCCACAAGACCAAAGAGGCTTAAGAGCCACGAGAACCTCATATCTATCCTTTCAACTAAGAGGGCCTTCAATTTTCCATTCCTGAACTCTGTAGCCAGGCAAATACACCTATGCCCAAAGGGACCTCAGAGAACTCTTGAGTAAAAAGTTTAGCATGGAACCTATGCCATCTACATTCAAATTGGTCTCGGGAAGTAGAGAGGCCATATCCATCATGGCAACACCTGTATAGCTGATTATAAGCTTAAGGGGAACATGTAACAAAGGACTGCTTGTTACAAGAATGCTCAAATTGCAATGGAGCTCCTGAAGATTTGGGAACTGGTGAGGGACTGCCTGCCCTATTCTACAATGTGCAATTTACCCTGGGACATTCACCCTCTCCAAAGGTCTTATATCTTCCCGCTCCAACAGTTTCCCCTTTTGAATGATGTAGTCTAAGACCTTCCCCACCTAATAGTTCTGACAATGGAGCCGTGAGTTTCTCTGAACAAGCCCAGGATTTACAATCTAGAGTCTGGAACCCCAATTATCTGCTTTCAAGGCAGTCGTGAGAAATGGAATGACCTGCACATATCTGGACAAATGAACACAAACTAGAGGCAATCTAGTCAGGGACAGCTATCCAACCTGCTTGAAGAAAGTGGAGACTGGCAAATGGTCTCCTCTAGGTGGATATTCTAAACTGTGACGTGCTGGAACCTGCTGAACCAGTGCTGGGAACTTCCTCCACAGCATAAGGTACAGGGTATATTCCATTTCCCTTCCATCCAGGGCTATATGGGACTTTCCCCTTCTGCCCAAGAGGGTTCAGACCTTCACCTTTGCCCAATTAAGCTGCAGAGTTTTTCACTCTCACAAGAGGATCTCGGTTCTTCCTCTAAGGGCCATTACTTCTTCCCATTTAATTGGAGGGAATGTTAGATCTCTCTTTTAGACCAAATTCTGCCTCAGACTTTATTTATCCAAGGGGGTCTTAAACATTGTGTGTGAAGAAGCTTCACACCTTATCAAGCAGGCCTCAGACATTCCCCTTGTCATTGAAAAGGCCTCAGACCAAGTGTAACTTAAACCACTCCCTCTGCATAAGCAAACAGAAGTGGGGGCTATGACCTTTCCACTTTGACTAAGAGGACTTTCGACACTCCAATTTTGCCCAAGGAGGTCTAGAACATGCCATTCTGGTAAAGGGCCCCTAAGAACAAGGGGGTTTCAGACCTGTATTCTCTGTTCAAGGGGGCTTCAGGCCTACCCCCCGTGATGATGGAAGCTTTAAAAGATCCTCTTATGTTTGTCAGACCCATTCTGTTCTAACAAAGATGGCATAGAGCGTCTGTCTCAGCAAAGTAGCTAGGCAAATACTCTTGAGACCCACAGAACCTCAGACATTCTTGGTTTAGATCACAAAGCTGAATGAACCTAGCCATCTGCCTTCCAGGTGTTCATTAGAAATTAAATGTTCCCATCTTTCATTCATAGACCTGAACAACTGAACCTAATTCTTGAAATGTCACAGGTTGGGACAACCACGCATCGTGTTAGAAGAGTGTTGATTGTTCCCTGTTCTGAAGATTCCATGACATGTATGGGTATTTGGAACAGGGAACTGCTGGAAACTAATGTGGTAGGTAGTTCTGGGACCTTTCTCTACTGTACAAGTTAGTGTGGGACCTTCATTTGCCCAAGGAATGGGGAAGTGTATCTTCCCATTCTAATTCAGCTGGGGCATTTGCCCCTCTGGCCAAGGAAATTCAGAATATCCCCCTTTCCTGAGTTCTCAGAACTTCTCTTTTGACAAGATTGTGTCCAATCCAACCTCTTCTCAAGAAATACACATTCCCCATCTGATAAAGGTGCCACTAGAACTACTCCTGGGTCAGTTAGCTCCATTCCTTCTTCTAACTAGGTGAACTGAAGACACTCTCTCTCCCAAGGTAGTATGGAAACCACTGGCTTTGACCAAGGGGAACTTTCCCTTATGTCCAAGGTGACATACCGTGTGTCCCTGATTCAGGGATCAGCAAAGCCTGCCCATTACTCTAAGGGGACCCAAGACCTATCCTTTAACTAAAAGGGTCTTAAATCTTCCCCTCATGTCCTAGGTAGTCAATACCCATGACAAAAACAACAGACCATTCTGGACTGTGAGAAAGAATTGGAACATGTGATGGGGGTCCCTAGCAAAGAGGGACCCAGTGTTCCTCCACTGCACAAAGTATGCTTAACTATTCTCCTTTAGCCCAAGTGGATCTGGGATCTTTCTGCTTTACCCTACTCTGCCTGACACTTTCCACTGGGGCAGTGGACCTTCCCCTTCTGCTCAAGGGGGCTACACATCTACTCATCTAATCCAAGTGTCTCAGATCTTCACCCTTATTCAAGTGAGCTTCAGAGATGCCTCTAACCATGAGGGTGCTTAGCGCTTTCCCCCTTCTATGATGGCCTCACATTGTGGGGCCTAGGTAGCTGATTTAGATGTGGGGCTTTGTGGGTTTAAGCTTGTGTCACTTACTGATCTACGGGTATATAAGCATGCCATGTCATACTCTTGCCACCTCACATGGGGCCAGGACCACAACCTCTCCATGATGGACTGTGCCTTCTCAAACCAAGAGCCAAAATAAATCTTTCCTCTCTAACGTTTTGCCAGGTATCCTGCCACAGAAACGAGAAAGCCATTCACATTCTTCTCTCCTTCATTTGTCAGATGCCAAGACGAAGAAAACAAAAGAAAAACACAATCACTATGTTCTCTAATATCAAAATAGAGCAATTTATTCAAGACACTGAATATGATCTGTTGATTCTCTCTTGAAACAAATGAGCTACAACACACAAGGTGATTCTTTTTTTCTTCTTGAAGAGCGTGAGGGGTGAGTGGGAGTGGGGGTTAGAGGACAGAAGGGGAAAGGAGTTTTGATGGTGCTTAACAGAGTGTGGAAAATGCTGAGAGGACCATGTCTGGCTGTACGTCTGACACAGACAATAAAAACTGCACAAGCCAGAATTCAAAACTTCAGTGAGCTGCGGAACAGACACTTATGCATTTGACAAGAAACAGAATGGGAAGGTAGAACGAAAGGTTTGAAAAGGGAAAAGCAACAAGGAACAAAGCAGATCCTTACATGTGACAAAGTGCACTTCACTTGGCTCCATGATCTATTTCTTAGAACAAAAAGTCAAGTCCTATGGTGTTGAGTGGGGTCAGAGAGTTGAACCTTGTCATGTCCATCTGGCCCTTCGGTCCTCTACAGGCAGCATTCTGGATGTGCTGGGAATGGTGCGGTTACTTCAAACTCAAGGGAAAATACCTGTAAAGGCTGCTATGTCACTACACTGCTTTCAAGGTTGAATTTGGTCACAAGACTTTAACCATTCCTCACAATGTTTTAGGATTTATAAACAATGTTAGGTAACAGCATTACACACGGGCCACCCCTTCACCACAAAATATGATGCACCTGCCCTGTGACAGCAGGGCAAATGATGGCGTCCAAATGCTGGCCGCTTCAGAAACAGCTATAGAATGAACTGTTTGATGGGGATGGACTTCAGGGATGTGGGCTGCATTCTTCTGCTTGGTCCCCTCATGGCCAGCACTAAATTCCTGTCCATGTTTCACTGCAAGGCCAGGGAAATAAATGGTTTTTAGGTTTCTTCGTGTGTAGATTGAACCTTTTTGTCCTAGTCTCACAGCACCTGACTCCAAAATAATTCTTATGTGGCTTAGATTCATCTGGGGGGTGTAGCCTGGACACCCAAAGATTGTCTGATGAACCCCATATATGCCATTTACCCATCACCATCGTACAGCAATGTGGAACTTGTCAAATGAAAGCCATGTCCTTACAAAAGGCTGACTTTTACCAGCTCATCTTCTACAGAGATGAACAGAACTTTATTTGGGGAACAAAGGTGGGATTCAGCTGGACTTCCAAAACTGTATTCTAAAGCTAAAGCAATCTCAGGGCAGGAAACAGCATACGCACTTACGCAGAGACACCTGCTACAATCAAATTCTCCACAGAACTCAGGCTTTCTTTGCTAAGTGTTTAGGTGCCAGAGTCCAAACACACCGCTCAACTCAATAACACAACACTTGGATTTTAAGGGCTTCACATAATTTACACATCAAAGTGGAGACCCATTCACGATTCATGTTCTTGGTCGTAAGGTTGGTCTGCTGTGTAGGAAGTACCTCACCGTCCCTGTTGGTTGATGTCTGGCTCCATATATGGATACTTCCCTCTAAGTAATACTTGCCTAAGCTGCAGACTGGACCCTGCATACTGCCACTTGCAGTCCCACTGACTTGGCCCAGCCCCTTCTGGTCTGTCCCCCTTTGCTAATTAAAAAAAAAAAAAAACCAAGTCAGTGTTAAGTTATGAAAGCAAACAAAAGTCACCCGATTCAATGATGGCAAACTTTACCAGGCACACAACGCCTTATGTTTTTTTTTTTTTTTAAAGATTCTTTCTTCCTTTTCCTCATTTTTTTTAAAGCTTCGTCCTAATCTTCTGTAAGAGAAATTGTAAAGTGGGCAGAAATGATCTGTGACATTACACCTGGGTCATAATTAATTTTAGGATTCAAAGTCTCCCTTGATACTCATTGTCTTCACGAGACTGAGGAACACGGAGGCCTTGAGTCGGTTTTGCAAGATTCACCAAGCATACTCTTGATAAAGTGCCCATCTGTAGCTACACTGCTGTGAGAAAGAAGTAGCTGGCAGGTGCCCTGGAGCCACACTGTTGGTCAGGGTGGCCTCTTCACTGTGTTCCTATTGGCTGCGGAAGTAAATGTGCATCAAACAGTTCAGCATTCTGCTTGGTGCCAAACCAGTGGGCTCTTCCCCACCGGCTGCCAATAATCCCCTCATTCTTCCATAGGACGCTTCCCAATCCACGGTTTTCCTAACTGCCTTTCGTGAAGCTGAAGGGAAAGGGGTAATTAGACACCTCAGACTCTGCCAGTGTCTTCTTAGTCTCTTAAATATGAATTTCACAAAACTCTCTATGTCTGATGGCCATTTTAGGATTTTAAAGTCATTTTAACATAAAAATATTTTTTTCAAAAAATACTCCAGGATCTTACTCTTATAAGTCTTTTTTTTCTGTAAAAAGTCCCCCTCCCTGCCTTCTTACATAAAGCACTTACTATGCTCTGAAAGTGCCTTTGGGACCTAATGTGAAGCAACTATGAGAAAGGGACAGAGAGTAAGCGATGGGTAGGGGTGGGACGAGAGGGAAGGGGAGTGCTGTCCATCAAAGATCCGTTGTGTGCATGTGGCCATACCTATGCAGGATTTCTTTAAAAGTGAGACCACACCAAAGCAAGGACATCAGAGGAAGGAGTGGGGAGCAACAAGGGAGGACAGAAAGAATAAGCCAAAAACAGTTTCCATCTGTGGTGGGAGGCCTCCAGACCACAGAATTTTAGCAGATAGAAAAACCACCAAAGAAGGTTCTAGAAAATACAGCGTTGGGATTACAAAGTCACACGTTTCATTGGTACAAACCGGTCTTTTGGAGAGCAACTGTAGTATCCAAATTGATAGGAGGGAAATACCATAAGGGGCAGATTTTTCCTCCCTTTTGGTTTATCACAGCATTTTCTTTTTTGTTTTTTGTTTTTCTTTTTTAAAACCTTTTCTCTATTTTTTGGCACAGCTTTATGTTCTTTCTTCCCTGTTCAGTCATGAGAGCCTGTTCTGGATGGAAACCAAACCATGCACCATGTAGCTGATGGCTTCATCCTTCCCCAGCTGAGCATTCTAGGTGGAAACCATATTCCTGTGATACAACCATGTGTATGACTTTGTATTTGTTTGTGTTTTAAACTTCTGGATGCAGATTAAGGGGGGGGGAGGGAGAATCCTGTGGCCAGGGATAGGTGATTTCCAAGTAGACTCGAACAAGTCAAGTTCACACAGTTTGGAGCCCATCATAGGAAGGATGCTGCAATCCCACACATTCACTGCTGGTCCATTAGAATGGTTTTGTTTTCTACATTTTGTGTTTACTTTCGGAGATCTAAAACACAGACCTGGAAGGAAAGATAAAGAATCTGTTACTGAGAGAGACAATACCAGAGCCTTCAAACAGATGCTTGCAAGGCATAATCTAGCTACCACTTTTCATTCTTGAAAAGTTTTAACTGAAGAGCCGAGAAGAAAAAGAAGTCCTAGAAACAGGCTAGTTTCTGAACACCAGAATAACCAAACTCTAGCAAAGAGTAGGGAAGGGAAAAGCCAGGCCACGGAACATGCCAGGAACTCACAGTGACTGAGGTTATCAGCAGGGGTCACAGACTGGAAGCCTACATGGTGGAGCAGATTACAAAAGATCTCGGGCCACATTAATGACTCAGTCCATTAGCCAGAATGCCCTCCACCCTATGGTTATTGCAACCTCAAGTTCAGAGGCAAATTAACCATTACATATGCTAGTGGACCACAATGATCCACAGAAACCAGGAGGCCTGTCTGATGGAAGCTATGCCTTTCATGATGATGTTTAGCCAGAACACTCGCGTGGCAACAGAATAGGAACAAGTTTCTAAGCCTATACACTAATATTTGTGGCCAGGTATTTCTTGGCCAGAGTAGGGCATCCAGAGCATTTTAAGAGGCTTACTAGTATCCCTGGACTCCACCAGTGAAATGTTAATGGTACCCTGCACCAAAGTAGTGACAACCTAATATGACTCCAGATATTCCTTAATACCCTGGGGTACGTACATACAAACACACACGCACGCACGCAAGAAGAATCAAGTTCACTGACATTCTAGGGTGAAGAAAAGGCTATTTCCTTCTTTCCCTTTTGGTTTTTTGAGACAGGGTTTCTCTGTGTATTCCTGGCTTCCTGGAATTGGATGTACAGACCAGGCTGGCCTCAAACTCACAGGGCTCTGCCTGCCTCTGCCTCCCGGATGCTGGGATTAAAGTTGTGTCCCACCACCGCCCATCGAAAAGGGTATTTTCAACCCAAACAGAAGCCTCCTTCACTCAGGCATGCCTGCACATGCACATGGTATGTGGTAAGCACCTGTTAAGGTGAGAAGGCTTAGCAGCACAGAAACCTCACAAGGCATTTACAAGCACCTAGTGTTGGATCAGGGATCAGCTGCCCTGCACCCCTAACTCCCAGCAGACCAGAGGTGCCACTTACAGAGCCATCAGATGCACTGGCACCCACTTTGTCTCCTCGAGCATTCCAGCACACCTCAAATATGCCGCCTGTGCCTCGGTAGCTGTGGACAAGACTTCCACTCTGAAAAGCAAAACATTTGTCATGAAAACTCAGAGGAGCCCCCCAAAATGACAGCAGTAAAAGGGGGCCACTCTTCCATAAACCTCTATCTGATCAAGGAGCTTTCAAGCACACAAAAGTTAAAGAAATTTCCATAAGCACCCCAATCTACTGTCACCCAAAGAACTGCCACCATATTTCACCTTAAAGCAATGGCTATGCCCAGCAAGGCACTCATGATACTACAGAGCACTAGACAACAGGTTCCCATGAGGCAATGCATACCTGCCAGAGGGGGAGCTTTAACTCATAACACTCTTGATCTGTTGTTTCTTTCTTTCCACATTTCAGTGCTGCATTTGAAGTCTGGGGCATCAGGGTGCTAATCATGAGATCTACCACTAAGTCACATTCCATGCTTTCCCCAGTGGCTTTGCTAAGGTGTCCTTTAGCCTCTGTGGCTACCCAAGCACCATCTTACTAAGCCATCCTTTCTTGTCTCCTTCTTAGGACTTAGATCAGCCCCCTGGGCTGGGGTCTTTCCACCTGTTCTAGCTCCTACCTAGTTCCTGTTCTGATTATTATCAAACTCCATCTCATTCTGTCTCCTCCTCAGAGCACTTGAGTGAGCACACCCCCAGCCCACTAGCAATTAGACAATTAAATGCATTAGCATGTCATTAAGTTATAACTTCCATGAATTTGGATATGTTGTTTGGAACAATGAATATACACAATGGTACTGTGGTATTTGTTAGCAGTTGTCTTGATGTGTGTCACAGGATGTGGGAAGCTGAGGTTTCTCAAGACTTGAATAAATCTTCAGTCCAGTTAAGTGTCTTTATAAAACATGTTTGAGAAGTCACTGTAATAGCTAATCTTGGATGTCAACTTTACTATGTCTGAATCAACTAAAACTGTCTGAGATGTCTCTGTGAAGCAGTCTCTGTCTCTCTCTCTCTCTCTCTCTGTAGTTTTTCCAGACAGGGTTTCTTTGTGGCTTTGGAGGCTGTCCTGGAACTAGCTCTTGTAGATCAGGCTGGTCTCGAACTCACAGAGATCTGCCTGCCTCTACCTCCTAAGTGCTGGGACTAAAGGTGTGTGCCACCACTGGCCGGCTGTGAAGCAGTTTCTTGACTGAATCATTTGAAGTGGGAAGACCCACCCTAAATCTGGGCCACACATTCTGGTGTCAGCCCACACCAAAAGACATGGAAGACAGAAACTTTTGTTGGTAGCCTGCTTTCCCTTACTGAGAAGTTCGTGTAGTCCACTGCTAAGAATTCTAATGCAGACTGAAGACCAGTTGAGACATCCAGCCTTGTGTGGACTGAACAACTACCAGATTCTTGACCTCTCCTTTGTGATCAGCCAGCCATAGTTGGACTAGCCAGACCATGGCCTATAAGTCACTCTAACAAATCCCCTTTTGATATAGCTTCATTTTATCAGTTGTATTACTCCAGAGAATCATAACCTATACTGTCACTAACCCCTGAGGCCACCAACTACTCATTAATTCTTATCTATAGCAATGAAGTGTCATGGCATACACATAGTTAATTGATATATATATATATATATATATATATATATATAATCAAGCCATGGCAAATAATAGCAAGGCATAATGAAAATATTTTAGATAAATATTAGTTTCTGTTTGCACAGAAAAATAAAGGGTAGTATACATTGTGACTATGAACAACAGCAAGCCAACAATATTATATGTGCCTATAACAAGAGGATTAATGCAGGCTCTAAGATGCTTCAAAATAATTAACTCCTTACTCCCTTGAATATGAACCTAATACTGCTGGGCCTTTTCAGTATTCTACCCCACCCCCACAAAAAATCCAGAGTATAATAAACAAGCCTGCAATCCTAGCTACTCCAGAGGCGGGAGAAGGAAGGACTCCAGGTTTGAAGCCAACCTTCACTGTACAGTGAGTGACTTCTAGGGCCCTGGATTCAATCCCCAGTATTAAGGAAGGGAAGAAGGGAGGGAGGGAGGACCAAAAGGTCTAACAACTATTCCTAAAATACTCACATGGTACTGTACCCAATGTTGAGTCACCTAGTGAATGTATATGCACATCAGTTCTACATATATACTATGCCATCTTACAGAAGTGAGTTGGGCCCTACAGATTCTGATATCTGCAGCGGGGCCTGGAGTCATCCCCTCAAAGATTAAGGAGCACCAGCATTTTTATGTTGTTGGCACCTTCAAAGTGAGCTATCACTAGCAAAATCAGTTCTCTCTGCACAAGTATTCCTGCACATTTCTACCTTTTGTTCTGTTTTGCTTCTTGATAATACTGTTCAGGCTGGCTTCAGTCCTGATCATCTTGCCTCCACCTTTCCTGTGCCAGGCTGAGAGGCATCTATCAGTATATCAGGACACATGTTGCTAACTTTGGGTTATGTCCCTGAAATGCCCATGAGAATCCCGTAACATGGCTTCTTTACTGACTTCCCTGCTACAAGGGGGCATGAACTTAAGAATTCAAATCCTTCTAAATGTCAACCAATAAAAAAGGAATGAGAAAGTGAATTACATGAATGTGGTGTACTGAATTCTCCTGAGGTCAAACAAACTGGCTCCTTATTTTTAGTAACTTACCCTGACTACTCAATTGGAATGATAACCAAGGGCTAAGATGTAGCCCAGGGCAGAATAGTTGCCTGCCACCTCCATGGATCTATGTTGCATTCCCAGCAGCAAAAAGAAAACAAAAAACTGTCCAGTGCAATACTTCCTCCCAGTCTACCCCACTGGTTCTTGTCCAAGTCTACTCTTTTTGTTGTTGTTGTTTGGTTTTTTTGAGAAAGGGTTTCTCTGTAGCTTTGGAGGCTGTCCTGGCACCACTTGCTCTTGTAGGCCAGGCTGGTCTCAAACTCACAGAGATCTGCCTGACTCTGCCTCCCGAGTGCTGGGATTAAAGGCACGTGCCACCACCACCCGGCCCAAGTCTACTCTTGAAAGAATTCTCTCAACCCTGTAAGGCCAGACATATCCCCAGTGGCTATATTGACTCCAACCCCTTTCCCTTTTCAGTCCCTGCTGAAATGACAATCTAGTACTCATAGAGCTTGTATCAAACAAGTAACACTTTCAAATGTGAAAATTTCAAGTCTCCTATTCTTTTATGCTCTGAGTTGCTCCACAGTGGACAGGAGGAAGATCAAGTTGGTTATTCCACAGTGTCTCCCTGGGAAGGTTTTATGAAAAGCTACCTACAGGACCTTCCCACAAAGAGCAACATTTCTAAGGTGAGAAAACTAGGTCACGCTTTCTCTCCAGCACTTGGGAACCTGCCAGGATAAGACAGCTGGACACAGCGATCCCTCTAAGGGAGAATGCTCCCTAGATGACAAGCTGAAAGTTCTGGCTGGAGATCAGATGGAAAGAGTCCAGAGGACTCCAGGCCTGTAGGCGGGGAAGACCCCACATCATTGGGGTACACACAGCAGGCCACACAGAACCTGCCAACACTATGGGGAGGCTCTACTCACTCCTGAGATAACTCATTCCCCCAGCCCTCCTGTCAGCCCAGGAAGTAAAAACATGCCTTTCAGAAACGAATGAGCGAATGAACGAAGTCAAGACATTACCTGAGTGTTCCAGATATGGACACACTTGTCAAAGGACCCGCTGGCCAAATACTTCCCATCAGGGCTGAATGCCACACTGTAGACAGGCTCCTGATGCTTGGTCAGAGTGTGGATGCAAACGCCTCGTTCCACATCCCACAGTCGAACAGTAGAATCAAATGAAGCACTAGGAAGACGGCAGGGAAGACAACCACAGAAATGGGTTGGCTTTTTAAGAGCTCTATGATGTATCTAATGGGAACTGTTTCTTAGCTATATTTGAAATATACTTGAATTTGCTTCAAGAGAATATTCTGGTGAGCATTTTCTCTCCAGAGAAAAGTAAAGCTTCTACCATCAGCCAGAACCCAGGACTCTGCATAAGCCAGGTAGGTACTTCCCCACTTGGCCACTGTGTTCATTTCTTTTTCCAGTTCCCTCATCTCTGAACACAAAATGCTTTTGTGTACTAACTTTTCTAAAATATCATCATTGTTTATAATACACCCACTTGAACAACTATAAATCTATCCATCTACAACTGAAAAAAAAAAACATCAAAAACCGAGTGAAGATGTACTTCCCCCATGAGAAATTCTAAACCCACATGCACATATATAATCACATTGACAAGTGCTACAGGTTTCATTATTTTCCCATTTAAAAGAACAGTACCTATCACAGGGCTGTCACCGCCTGGCTTTCTGTACCTCCACAAGGTCTCACAAGGCTCAGTGTTGTCCTTTTGTTTTTGTAAGGGGTAAATTTATTTGTCCCTGATATGTACTATACGATAGAAGGAAGCATCTCCCTAGTCATTAAAAATGACCACTACATGTACTACTATATCACTGATATACAAGTTGAGTTTTTAGAGAATTATGGAAAACGGAGAATTAAGGCTTTGGGGTTCTTCTAGTTTAGCCACTCAGTGTTTGGACTATTTTTCTTGTGTGCTTTAAGTATGTTGGGTTGGGTTTTTAGTGGTGATGTGTATGCCAGGCAAGTGATCTACAACTGAGGTATAGCCAAGAACCACTTATTGTCTCTTCTTGGAGACAGACTTTGGTTGAATGCTTCCTACAAAGCTGTTCTCACTGCCAGGAAAGGCTTCCCACCCTATTACTAGGTGCTTCCTTCCTTGTAAGAGAACTATCTATTGTCACTTCCTCCTCAACCCTCTGGGACAACACAGACCAAGCTTCCTACTGCTTCTTGGAAACCAAACTTTCCTTTGGGAGTCTGGTCTTGTCCAGACTAACATGCATGAATCCAAACCCCAAAGATCCACATCATGGTTTCCAGATGATTCTAAAAGTCCTGGATTCTGATTCATAATGGCCTTAGTTCATCTGTCTAAATGCTCTCATCAAACTACCAAGAGGAGGAATAGGGTGTACTCTGTGACAGAACACTTTCCAGGAAAGCATGCATAAGGCCAGAGCTTCCATCCCTGCACCTTAAAGCCCAAGAATGGACTGCTATGTTTTTTGTCTCTAACATTCATCAGAATACAACAGTTCTGCTGTCTAAAGCCCAAGCAACTTGATTTGGATGAGATACCTCTGGCCTCTCCGCTTCTGGGGCTTGGTTGATTGGTAGATCCAATATTAAGAGATCTGGGTCATCTTTGGCCGAGGCAGGGAATCATTTATCTCTAGTCAAAATCCCAGTACCACAGCCCTGAATGGAGCTTCTAGATCAAACTTGAGCTCCAAGCTAAATTCTGATTTTCCATTCTTTGTCTTAAAAACTTTCACTCTAGCAAGCCAGCCTCCTACACCTGCATGTTCATGGTATTATCCAACTGCAGATAAGAAACCATTGAGGGGGAAGGAAAAATGGACCTTGGGATGGCCTGTAATCCTAGCACTGCAGAGGAAGTGAAAGGTGTAACTCTAAGCTAGCCTAGTTTCCATAGCAAATTGTAGGCAATCAGGGCTACATAATGAGACCCCCGTCTCAAACAAAACAGACAAAAACCACATGCACACAAAACTGTATTGGACATATGCTGACCCTTTTGCTTGTCACTGTTACCTAAACAACACAGTCTAAGAACTATCCTGGAAGCATTCTCGCTTGATGGGTATTATAGGCAGTTTACAGATGATTTAAAGTAGAGGGGAATGCATTCAGAGATTGTAGGCAAAGGGAATCAAGCATCCATGGATTTTGGTACCCACAGGGGGTCCCAGAAACAGCTCCATGGATACTGAGGGAATTTTAATTCCATCTCCTTGGCGTCCTTCACAGTGAATTCCTATTTTGTTCAGTTTGGAGGAAGGGCTTCAGCCCTGCTGTTTCTAGGTGTGAGTGAGTCTTCCCAGCTGAGTCACTCACTAAGCAACAGAGAACAAAGCTACAAAAAGGGAGGAGACAGCTGTGAGGTAGTGAATCTGTGCTCAGGAAGCAGACAGAGCTGTGAGGCTGCCCTGCCTTACCTTGCTAACATGATGTTGGAGTTCGGGTTGCTGGTGGCTGGTCCTGTGGGACTCCACTTAATGGTATATATCTCTTTGCTGTGAGCTTGAAGGTCATGAACACATACATCCTGCTTCATACTCCAGATCTGGAAGAAGCATTGGCAACAGTGTGAGCTAAAACCGTGCCTCTAACTCAGCATCTTTCATTGCAGTGCACCTAAGGTATTACTGCTTAGGTGGCAAGGAACAGAGTTAAGCTAAGTCTACAAGGATGCTGGTGGACAGGACACAGGAAGGCTAGGTCTCTCAGTGGGAACAGTGCCCCAGATGTCAAAATTCCATGCAAGAATGAAACATTTAGTTTAGAAACCATGAAAACCACAGAGAAAAGACAGTATCAAAGTAATGGTCCAGGTGATTAGGGCTGTGTGCCATACAAGGGTTCATGTAGGATTAAGCACCTCATCCCCTTAAGAACCAACATTACCTTCAGTGTCATGTCATCAGAGCAGGAGGCTAGCAGCATTCCAGAAGGATCCCATTTGATAGCATTGACCTCATTCTGCAAGAGAACACAGCATTTCAGAAAATCAGAGCCTTTGTGTAGAAAGTCTGGCATCCACCAGGGGGCAGTAGCATACTGCCAGCACTACAGTGCAGAGGGCCTTTTGGGAATTCACAGGCTATCAAAGACCACACAGCACAAGAAGCCACCCACATGATTATTCTTTCCTCATTTTGCTTTTCACTCATGAAAAAATACTGCCATATATTACAAAGGACAAGCTACACTTTCATCCATATTTCTTTAGGGAAAATTTCCTTATTAAGGAAGCCAAAGGAAGAATTTGCATATAACAACCATAGCTAATTAAATCAGTTTTTATTTATGGCTGCTTGAGACAGGGACTTACTATGCAGCACAGGCTAGCCAGGAGCAACTTATATATCCCAGGATGGCCTGGAACTATCCTGTCACCCTTCTGAGTATTAGAATTGCAGGCATGCAGCATCAAGCAGAGCTAAAAACTAGTTTCATTCATTCATTCATTCATTCATTCATTCATTCATTCATTCATTGTTTTTATTGGGGGGGGGACAGGGTTTCTCTGTTTAACAGCCCAGCTGTCTTGGAACTTGATCTGTAGACCAGGCTGGACTTGAATTCACAGAGATCATCTGCCTCTGCCTCCTGAGTGATGGGATTAAAGTTCTGAACTACCACCACCAGGTTAAAAGTAGTTATTTGTATAAGTGGACTTTGATCATCACTTTCCTATGTGCTTTTAATATAACAGCTCCTCTTTACATTCTGTTGAAGTACCTGTAACTTGTTGGACGTAAGGTAAAGGTAGATAAAGGTTTAGGTAGAACAACAGCAGAGCCAGGTAGCGCCCAAAGGCACAAAGACACACACAAGCAATTCCTATGTGCAGGGAAAATACATCCAGCAGCTACAGACAGGAAAAGGCACAGAAAAATCAAATCCACCCTCCTGTGGATTTGTGTTGTGTAGCAGTTTCCTCTGAGATTAAAAAAACTTCCACTTTGAAGGGAAATATTCTTAAAACAGAAAGTTTTCAGGGAGTGGTAAGAGTGAGGTGAAATACTACAAGGAAGTTCATTAAGAAGGGAATGCGCAACTCAAAAGAAGCCTCCAGGAAGTCCTTGAAGCTGACCACATTCAGTAGCCCCTCAAACTCCCACAAGAGTGTGTATATGCAGAAAACACTGCTGAGTCACTCTCAAACATGGGTGCTGGAAGCAGCAGAGGTCAGCTGAACTGCCTAGAAGAAACAGAGAGAAGACAAGATTCCTGACCAATCGAGCCATACAGGCAGGGAGGGCCTGGTGCTGTGCAGTGAGCTCCAGGCTGCCAGCTTTCATGAGCTACCTGTCACCCATACTGAGGTGGACTTTGATGGTGCACTATCTCTGAGTCATTTTTACTTCTGTAAGTAACCCCAGTAAACCTCATTGCTTCATCAAGCCGGATTCAGGGGCCATACAACTAGGGAACAGTCAGGTTTTCTTGGTTTTTGAGTAATAGAGACCCCCAAGATTGGAGGAGAAAGGCTTTTGGCAGAGAAGGAAGAAGGGGATGTAGTTATATAAAGGGTCACCTGCACCATACTGACAGGGGCAGCATTCGGAGCAAGGGCAGTGGAATTTACTGTTAGGGGTTTCTTCAGAGGGGTCTTGGGAACACCACTGCCATTAACTGCCTCCTCTCTCAAGCCAGCTGTCTTATCCTAACAAACAACTTCACACACCAGATTATTTTCTAAATAATTTCACACTTTCCAAATATTGTGGTTGATCCCCTTCGTAAGAACACCAAATTTTGAAGGGTGTGAAACTGGAAGAAGCAGGGAATCCAAGGAGCAAGACTCACTGTGACCAGATCAAGGAGGAGAGGAAGGGTGTGACTGCAGAGCAGCACAGAGGGTGTGTGTGTCAGTGTGTGCCTATCTGTGAGCCCAAGTGTAAAAGAGGCAGTGTGCACGTCTCTAACTGCAGCTGGAGAGAAAACTCACAGGCAGACCTCTCCATGTCCTGTTTGTCTCCAGCTGACACATCCACAATTCCCCATGGAGACACAAATTCCTTCCTGGGAACAGAGCTTTCTCTCATGCCATCCTTTTGCATCTCAAGTCAAAATTCCAGGGAAGAAACCAGAACCTGCAAACAGGTCTTGGGAAGCAGTAGGTTCAGGAGCCATATAGGTAGACTCTGCTCAGAGCACCTAGCATCAGTAACAATCATTTATGGAACCAGGAGGCAGGATGTGAGAGAGCCAATTACAGAAATCAGACATAAAATGTGTGCCCCTATAAAAGCTGGGAAACATGTTGGACTTAGAAGAGAAACAGCTTCAGGACAGAACATAGAGGGTTAACAGATAGCCAGTCTGAGGTATTCCCAGGACCACTGATACCTCAGCTGGGTTAATTCCAACACTCAGGGCAGTCACAGAACTCTCGCCAGGGTAGTCACAGAGGCTCTAAACAGCAAAGCATGGCAGATCAACTGATCTCCCCCTACAGTTAACTTTTAATGCAGGCACTGAAAAGATGGCCCCCATATCACACTCTTACAATTCCCAACTCTGAGCATCAGAACTGCCACTTACAGTATGTCCTTGGAAGGTTTTGACTGGGCGGTCACAGCTAAGCCTGCACACATGAATGCACATGTCTGTGCTGCATGAAGCAAAGGTAGTGTTGTTCTGCCAGTCCACATCAAGGGCAGGTGCTGCAAGGCAGGAGAAAAGAGGGGACATTTGCCTTATTAATTGAATACAGATCTCAGCGATGCAGACAAAATCATCACCCAGGAGTCTTGTCTAGTGACCATGAATACCAGCCCCAGTGAGAATCAGCTCTACTGAAACCATGAAAACCATTTTTCAAAGACCCTAAAGATACCTCCTTCCAATTTACAAGCATTAAGATACCTCTGGAGAGACCCCCACCTTTCTATGAAATGGAAAAACCCACAGGGACAGGCCCAGTTATGTAAAAGGGAGGTACCAGTTATTTTTTTGCTAGCCCACCAATTTCCTATTGCCAATACTTTGTTTTACAGTAGTCCCAAGGTTCTTGACACATTTCTGCTCTTATACAATATCATGTGAGTTTAGATAAAAAAGAAACTACTGGGACTGCCTCTGTGTAACTCCAACAACAAACCTACCTGAATGAAAAGGAAACTGCTGTTTGGCTTCTCCTGTGTGCGCATCCCAAATTATAGTTGTCTGTACTCCGCAAACAGAGAGAAAAGTTAGTTACTATTCTTCTCAAAGAATTATCTAGAAGAATGTCTTGTACTAGAAAAGACAACCAGCCCCCTTTCCTTCTGAGAAATTAATTTAGTAACATATTTTATTTTACCCTTATATAAAGCCAAACAGGTATCATTTCTACATGCAATAGTGTAAAATACTTGTATTTGTCATTTCTGTATTTCTGACCTAAATCTATGATGTACACTGTGTATTTCACACTCAATAATATAGATGCCACATTAATGAGAGCAACTGGTACACAGCAGCCTTTACCAATATATTTGGAAAATCTACCAAAATCGATGGGAATGTCCCCTCAGCTCTCAAACCTAGAAAACCATTAGATAACAGATAAGAGGGCACACCTGCCGTGTGTCTTTTGGACATTGTTCCAAAGGAAAGTGCCACAGGAATTACCATTTCCAACACACCCCATCATTCCATGAACTGGGAGAACAGGTGGAACTGCCATAAAAAATCCAAAGTATGGAATGAGAAAAATCAAACTAAGTCAGCTCCATGAGTTTCTGCGAGGTTTGTCCCTGTATCGGGTCTCAGAGAATTCTGCCGTCTATAATGGGAAGTGGTGGCTTATCAGGTAAGGAAAGATGGAGACAAGGGAAGGAAAGAGCCTGTGATTAAGAATTGCTCAGTGGCTGGGAGGTGGTGGTGCACGCCTTTAATCCCAGCACTCGGGAGATGAGGCAGGCGGATCTCTGTGAGTTTGAGGCCAGCCTGGTCTACAGAGCGAGTTCCAGGACAGGCTTCAAAGCCACAGAGAAACCCTGTCTGGGAGAAAAAAAAAAGAATTTCTCAGTGGACGAAAGTCAACACAGAAACATCTACAACAGTATACTGCATCCTGGAGTAGTAAACTCCATTGAGAGATTTTCCCTTTTTTCATCACTGGGCTGAGAGCTCATTCTGCATGAAGGTCTACAGAGGTAAATGTATTATGAGGTGATGCCTTGCTCAAAGTCAGGAGTAAAATGAACTAGAGAGACAATCTGAACCTAAATGAGTTATTTTACCAAAGAAGCCAATAGGCTAAAAGTAAATCCACGTCCATAGATGAAAGGGATGTATTTAAAGTTAATATCACTCACCTTATCCACACCAGCACTCAAAATATAATTCCCCTTTTTGTTCCACTTCAAGGCAAAGATGGGGCCTTTATGTTGACCTAAGGTGCTGGCTAGGTTACCTGAGATGGGAAAATAAGAGACATGGTGACTTCACAGTCACCAACTATTCACTCTATCTAGGATCATACATAAAGTACATCTTACTCAACACAGAGATGCAGAACTTACCATCTTCTGTCCATATTCTTGCAAAGCCATCATAGGAACCTGTTGCCAACAGTGTCCCATCGCTCTGGAGGACAGAAAAAAGACAAAACACATTAATATCTGGATGCTTTCCTGGGCTTCCTTCACCACATGGAGTTGTGTGACAGAGCCAACCCTCTCACAGGCAACACATGCTCACAATGACGGGGACAACTTCCCACCCCCAGAATGCTGTCTGTCCACCAGGACCTGATAATGAGCCCCTGGTACCAGCACTGCAAGGTGGGAGCGGAGACAAACAGAACTGTCTGTCTCTTTGTGTTTGCATGTGCTCCATCAGGAAGGCAGCTGTGCAATCATCTAAACATGTGGGTGACAAAAGCTGCTTACGTTCCAGTCCAGTGAGGTGACGTCCTTATTACTGGGAACGTCATGTCCCCCTTCACGTATACAGTGCCTCAGCACAAGCTGTGTGGAGCCCCCATTGCTGTTCTCATTAAGGTTCCATATCCTTGCAGTGGAGTCTCCAGATCTGCAAAATCAACATGGGAGTGTTTGACTTTGGTTCAGTGGGAAATGTGACCAATGTGTGGCTAGGTCTCACATCATTAGCATGCCCTCTGTCTTTTCCACCCCTCTTGCTCAGTTTTCTTCCTCACTCCCCTCTTCTGCTTACTGACTTGAAATGTATCTGCCTTGCTACCAACCCCACAGAGAAATGGCTGGGACCACTAGCTTCACCACAGTACAGGATTCACAAACCAGCCTGTTTCTCAGTCTGCACACATTGGGAAGATATGACAAACATGTATGCTTTCCTCAAGGGAAACATGTATGCATTACTCCAGGGAAGAGGAAGCCCTCTCCCATCCTCCAGACCCAAGTGCATTACTGTCCCAAATTCTTACCCAGAAGCAAGCAGGTCACTAACAGGATTCCAGGCACAAATGAACACCTCAGACTCATGGCCTCGAAGAACTGTCGCTTTGCTTGGTGGAATTTCAACGTCTCCATCTATTTCCATTGGTTTTGAGTGATTATCTGCCAAGCAAACACAACAACATACATGGGTCACCAACCCATTAACAAATCACATCCTTAGGCACTACTGTTTTAAAGATAATTTGTTTTTATGTACCAAAGTCACGATAGATCTGATGACTGCAAAAGTGGGCATTTCTATAGTTTGGTACACATTTTGTGTTTCTGTTTTGAAATGCTATGTTGTATATTTGTTCCTAAAGTGCTTCTGTGCCGGAAGCTTGGTATCCACGTGTGGACACAATAGCAGGTGGTATCTAGTGGAAAGCCACTGGTAGCCATTCCGCTCTGACTTCTTCATCTCCCATGATGTCCTTCTACCTTGTGTTTCCACATCAACATCCACCATGATCATGCCCACGTGTATGCGTCGTCTGTGACCTGAAGTAAGTCTTTTCTCCTTCTAAACTAGCTGCCTCAGATATGTCGTTACAGGGTTACAAAGCCAACTTACACTGCCACTCTCAAGAGAATCATGCAAGAAGGCCAATGGTTCAGCTCAGCCAGAGTACTAGTCCTGGAGGACTGAAGGCTTGAGTTCAATGCCCCAAATCCTTGGTGAAGAAAGAGAACCAACTCCTGAATGTTGTCCTCTGACAATAGTCTGCTCACACTACTTGCAGAAGCTACCTTGCAGTAGTAAGAAAAGAGTAGACTGTGAATTCCAGGGTTGGCACTCCAGATGCACCAGGCCCAAGGAACAGTGTGGCAGCAGGGGGAAGCCTTTGGGAAGCAGCATGAACAGCCATCAGAGCTGTGGGTACAAACAGAACAAACCCTCTGCAAGTGTGAGCTGCCAATGTGCATAAAGACACGTGCTCAACTCTGTTCTGTCACCTTTCCTAGAAATAAATCACTCTTGGACAGGTACCCAATAGGGGCTACACTACTGGGGGTTTGTAAAACCAAGCAATATAATGTCCCATGTCTGAGCCTGCTGCCCTTGAAATCACCACAACCTGCTGACTATAACACAGTTTAGCCCTTAGCATGGGACACTGGTAGGTGGGATGCTGGGATTGAAGGCTACCACAAATGATACACTTTTATGTTGGGTGACTTATTTATAGAAGCTTCCCTTGTAATGTAGATACTCAAAGAGGAACCAAACTTCCTAAAAGGAAGGGATGGTAATGACCTTGTAGAAGATGGAGATCTCATGGATAAACAGGAAGCCAACTCTAGAAAGCAATTTAACAGACTGGCAGCAGGCAGTACTTTAAACTTTCCTTCAGCTTCATACATACAGATTCAAGAGGAAAAACCAGCAAAAACAAAACCATGTCTCTTGAAGACCAAAGAACTCTCCACTTACTTATTGCATGGGCTCCATTCTCTTCCCCATTCACGGTGGCTTCTCCATTCTTTGGTGGGTTTTGCTGAGCAGCAGCTGCTGGTGTTGTAGCTGCTGTGGTTGTGGCTGTGGCGGCGGCGCCCGCCGCCGCTGCAGCCGCTGCATTGGCTTGCTGCTGAGCGAGCTTCTCCCGAAAGGCTTGCTGTCTTGTCTGTACCACATCGGGCATCACAGCATCGATCAACGATAGCGACTCAATGGGACGCCCATCAAATACCGTGCCATCCTAGGAAAGCAAGACAAGTGTTACCCATCAGCTACCATGGACCAGAGAAGTTGGCATGGACTAGGAATAAGGTGCAAGGGATTTTTGTGGTGGGACAGGGCTCGAGGGCAAAGAGAGAAGGGGAAGTGGATGAGGACTGTTCATGGAGAGAAAGCAGCGAAGATCATCTTTAGTGGAGATTTCACAGATGTCAAGCCAAATTTTGGCATTAAGGACATCTTAACAGGTTTCCTTTTATCCTATGACAAAAGCTGCTACCATCGACGTAGTGATTATTCAACCAGTAGGGGTAGAACTGCCTCCTTGAAGGATAAATCTCAATGTGGGGGAAGTCATTTTTAGTCATCAACACTGGGATCATGGCTTTGTATCGCCATCTAGTGGGTAGAGGCAGGACATGCTGCTCACCATCCTCAGGTGTACTAGAAATTCCTCCTCTGAGAATCACAGCTGCAAAGATGTAGTGCTGAGACTGTTGGCAACCGAGTCACAAAGGTGTAGTGCAGAAACTGGTAGAAAACCCAACTTGAAACTACTATCAGAGTGGGCATCTCTACAATGGCCACCATGAACAATGGAGGAGGAATGAGCCCATTTAAAGACAACTGCACAGTTCAGAATAGGACTCCTGGTCCATGTGATTTAATAAGCACTGGATGTGCTCGACAATGACTCCCTATGCTCAGCGTAGAGACGAAATATCAGCATAATGCACCAGGCAACAGATTCACTTGATCCTAATGCATACATTTTACTGTCCTTTGTCTAGTTTCTACCTATCACACAAACATTTCCACACATCCTTAAATACACAGAAGTTCTTCCCTCAGGAAACATGCCAGATATATGAATCACATACCTACAGGCTGTCTGGGGGATGAAAAACCATGTTCCCATATGCTCTGAACTTCAATTATCCCAGAAACAGAGATGTACAAGTTTCAGTTGAATACTATCTAAACAACACATCACCCCAGGGCAGTTTTCTGTTTCTTTTTTAAATTATAATACAATGCGAAAAGCAAGAAAAATAATGCAATGTGGTATAATATCACGTGGCCCTGGATTCTGGCCAGGAGTGGCCCAGGCTGACCAGTCTTGATCCTTCCATGTTACTTTCTTCTCTCATAGAGAGCCACCGCTAGTTATTGTGTCACAAACCATGGTCATGTGGCTGGGGAGATGTTTCAGTGGTTGAGAGCACTGGATGACCTAGGTTCAGTTCCCAGCACCCGCATGGTGGCTCACAGGCATTTACAATGCCAATTTCATGCAACCCCATGCCCTTTTCTGGCTGTTGCAGGCACCAGGAATCCAGTGGTACACAGACATGTATACAGGAAAAACACACATACACATAAAATAAAAACTAATGCATTAAAAAAGATGTCACTGTCAACATAATAAAAAATACTGCCACATTTAAAATATATTGTTGGAGTTCTCTTTTTTGTTAATGCCTGGAAACACATGACAAAGATTATTTACCCTTAGACACACAAAATCCTCTTGAAAGATGAGAGAAACAGAAGTTATTACTTTTGTGTTTGGAAGACAATTTTTAAAGTTAAAAGAGAATACAGCGAGAAAGTCTGGGTAAGACGTTTCTAAGGGTGGGATTAAGTTCAGGAAAGGGGACAGTGGTATGTTAGACTGGGCCAATTGAAGTATATATGAAAAAGCAGTAAGGAAACTCGCTCTTTTGTAAGTTAAAAACAAAACAAAGTATGAAACAAAGGTATCCTGTGTGTATAGCTAAAACTGCTCACAGAAGCCAAAGACCATTAAAAAATAAAACCTGCCAGAGGTGGGCTAACTTTCTATAGGTTGCTGGTCTGGAAGGTTCTAAGAACCAAAATAACACAGGCTATTGCCACTGCTGTCTTATTTCCCACCAAAACTAGTTTCTAAGACTCTATTGCTGGTCTTAGATGCAAGACACAAACCCAGCAGGAACTGAGCTGGAAGTATCTTCCTATAGGCTATCTTTCAGAGAGCTGGAAGGTACTATGAAAGCTGCTGAGAAAGGATTGCTACTCAGCTGTGAGCCCCACATGCTTTATACCACCAACCTGCCAGGCAAGATGTGTCCATTGACACAACAATGGCCTGCCCAACTGTTATAGCGGTAATTGTTTTCTGATTGGATTTGAGACCTTCTCCTCAAGTGGGAGTTCATATCTACTACTGTAAACCTGGCCAAAAGCTTATGGCTGGGGAAGATACTGTTATGGTTTTGCTAAATGGACCTGGTGTGCTTATCAAATTCTAAATAATTAAGCCCACAGATTAGTGCTGCTATTAGCCTTGCAGTGGGTGACACTACAGAGACGTATAACTGGTAAAAGTGCTGAAAATAAATAGCCACTGAATGTACAGCTTTAAATTGGTCATCTATATCACTTGCTCCAAGGCTCAATCCGGGAACATTGAAGAAGGAGGGGGACAGAGAAAGAATGTAGGAGGTGGAGAGTCAGGTAGAATGTTATGAAAAACTGCTGTCCTAATTTCCCTTTGGTTATGCCCCCTGTCAGTTTCACACAAAATACAGACTCTCCATGAGCATCCAATAAGGGGCCTGTTTGGAAAATCTGTCCTGGGAAATCAGAAAGGGAGCTTGTCTGCTCATGCAAAGCGCTGGGCGAGGAGATGAAAGTCTGTAAGTAGAATGAATTGATTGTTTTCATCAGCCAACACCTTGTGATTCTGCAAACCCACACAAGGGGGCACCCAAAGCTTGTTGATGGTGCAGTGGCCTGTCTGTAACCTCCACTTTTTCCCAGTACCTTAGAGTGTGCGCCAGACCCATATATTAGAAGCATATACATTCTCCAGAGATATGCTAGGGAGAGGCTGGAACTCTGCCACATTCTCAGGAATGAACATACCTCATTGATGCTGATCTCCGCCTCCACATACTGCAGTCCTTTCTGAAGAATGGAGATGAGGGCCGCCGGTGGCACTAGTGTCCCATTGATGTTGGACTGGCTAATGTGGCTTTCGATCCCAAACGTGAAGGCGGAGTGGGAAAAACCTTCAGGAAGAGAGAAGCAGAGGTAGGTGAGAGTCAAGTAGGGATGGAGGTGTGGGCTGGAGATGTGAACATGGAACTGTGTGTACCAAGTTGCTACAGAATGGAAGCTCGGCTTTTGAATTAGGGTTGAGCAGGCAGGGATTAGAAATCAGCATCGATGGCAAAGCTTGGCTTTTATATAGGTGGTAAGGAATGGAACAGAGATCCATATCCTTCACAACAAGCGCTATACCTACTGGACCACCTCTCCAGCCCTTAAATGCATCTTGACTGGCATTTTCAACTTAAGATGGGTTTAATGGGAGTTAACTATATCTTAAACTGACAAGTGTACTATGGTTTAGCTGTGACATGTCCCCCAAAGGCCCTTTATGCTAAAGACTTGAGCGACAGCCTGCGTGGTAACGGAGCCTTTAAGAAGGTGAACCTAATCAGAAGTCAGGTCATCAGGTGTGACCTTTAAGGAACACTGAGGACTCCCCTAGCCCTTCCCATTTTTCTCTCTTTGCTTCCTGGCTGCCAGGAGGTAAGCCACGGTCATGCCACATGCTCCTACCACAATGTTCTCCCACACCACAGACCTAAATACACCAGGACCAAAGCAACCATTTCCTCCTTTAATTTGCTTTGCTTGAAGTATTTGGTCCTGATGAAGGAAATCTAATATAACTACACATGCAACTCTGGAAGGTAATTACACAGTATATGTCAAGAGTATGACCATTTGAAAATAGGTTCATTGTAGGTACAATGTATTAAAACAAGTATGTTGAGACCCTAGAACAGTGGTTCTCAACCTCCCTAATGCTGTGACCCTTTAATGCCATTCCTCATGATGTGGTGACCCCCAACCATAAAATTATTTCATTGCTACTCCACAACTGTAATACCTGTGTTTTCTGATGGTCTTAGGTAACTCCAGTGAAAGGGCTGTTGGGAGTCATGATCCACAGGATCTAGCCCAATATGACCTTTTCTTTGTGAAAGGAAATGTGGACACTTTGACACATCAGGACCAAGATGATGCAGCTTTAAGTCATGGGATGCCAAAGGTTGCCAATAGACCAAAGTTAGGAGAGACAAACAACTGACTTCCCCACATAGCCATCAAAAGGAGACATTTGCCACAAGCTTCACCAGAGACCTCCAGTCTCCACTAGGGAAGTGAACATTGAGGGTTCCCTATTGGACAGAAGTGGCTTGTTGCTTGGGCTGCATGGGTAGGTACTAGGATAGCTTTTCATTAGTATTGTCTCATAGATCTTAAATACCTTAAAAGTTGTGAGAATTAAAAATTATTTTACTTGAGAATTAAAATCATCAATACATAAATCACACGAGGCTGTCTGATCATACCTGTTGCTATCCACATGGCCTATTTTGTCAATAGGAGACATATGTTGTCTAGTCTTTTAACTATATACCATGAAGCAACATTTTGACAATGTCTCACTCAGTATGTCAACCAGGCTGGTCTTGAACTCACAGAGATCCATGTTCTCTGTCTCCCAAGTGTTAGGATTAAAGGTACATGTGTCACCATGCCTTGGCTCAACTGCTCTTGATAGTAATTTCAATCTGATTTCCTCTGTTATGAAGAAAGATCATTCTCCCACATTCCAATCCAGGAATGAAGTAATCCCCCTTCCAAACTACTCCTTCATCCTTAATTTTCTTACAAAGGAGGTCCTTAGCTCTTTTTGATAATCCGATAGCTTGCACTGGTGGCCAACCAATCTGCCCAAGGCACATTTAAAATGAACTTCCTTCAGAAAAGCAAGCTTGGTTACCTGATTCCTGGAGGTAGCGATATACCAGAAAATTCACCTCGTCGCTGGTAATGCTCATCTTAGCCTCACCTTGCGGCGATGAGGTCTTCGTCTCTATCAAGTGGGAGCCACCCTCTGTTAGAAAAACACCAGAAACACTGTTTTGAATACACTGTGTGTATTTACCTTCTGAATGTGTGTGTGTGTGTGTTGGGGGGAATGCTACTGATAGGTTCAGGGCCCTGTATCTATTAGGCAAGTGCTCTACTACTGAACTACACATATTTAAATAATGTTCATACTTTCATACATGATAGAAATTAATGACTGATTCACATTGTATTTTGTAATTACATAAAAATTTCATTGTAACTCGGGGCCTAGCCTACCTATGGCCCTGGTTTATCTCCACCAAAACACGTACACACACAGAGAGAGAATAGCTATATATAAGTTACATACAGATAACAATTAAACACTGCATTTATTATTATATATTACAAAATCATAAACATATTATAGGTTAACCAATTACCATCATATTATACAATACAGATGTATTCATGTGTGTATATATACATATACACATATAAATACAGTTGATTTTTAATTGTCAACTTGACACAATCTAGAGTGGCTTGGGAGGAGAGTCTCAATGCAGGACCATCTAGATCAGGGCTAGCCTATGGCTATGTCTGTGAAAGTGCGTCTTTATCGTGTTAGTTGATGAGGGAAAGCCCAGCCCATGTGGGGCTGGATCCTAAGTGTAGGAATAAAGAAAAGCAAGCTGAGCACATGCTCACATTCAAATTCTCTTTGCTCTTCCTGTGGACTAGGCTGCTTTGAGTTCCTGTCTTGACTTCTCAGGGGTGGACTGGATCATGAAATTGTAAGCCAGATAAACCCTTTCTCTCGTAAGCTGATGGGTATCTTGCCACAGACACAAAAATCCAACTAGGAGTGTGTGTGTGTGTGTGTGTGTGTGTGTGTGTGTGTGTGTGTGTGTGTGTGTGTGTGTGTGTGTGTGTGAGAGAGAGAGAGAATTATACATAGCCCAGGTAAGATGTATTTTTCCCAAAAGAGAAAAGCTGGCATAAATTTTAGGGTCTGGATTGACTAAAATATAAACCGTATTAAGGAAGCCAGATTCAGGGTCAAGAGAGTGCACAACAGCTGACTTTGTATTCAGTGAAACTGCAGTGCATAATTCAGAATGTGCTTGGTAATGGAATCCTGATCAGACATGGGCAGATGTGGCTGGGTCAGGTACTAAGAACTTTCCCACACAGGAGACACCTGAGCAGAATGCTAGTGTTGTCAACCCTTCCTTGGGAGAATGATGGTGTGGTCCTGGGAAAACAATACATCACAGTACCTTCCCCTGAGTAAGTTTAAAGGGGTCTTACCAGACACCTAAAGGTCACTCTACCTACAGGGTATGAGCAGCCCCAGGGATGGTGTACAGGTGTGGGACTGAGTAGCTTACACATGTCACCTTGACATCATTTCTGTGTCAGGGCTCCAGGTGAAGAGGTGAAGTGCAGGGAATATTGGGGGGGAGGGGGAAGAGAGAATCCCATGGAAACAGTCAGCTGCATCAGTCTGTTAAGAATGATGAACTAATGAGAAGAAAACGCATTGCATGCACGTATGAAATTGTCAAAGAACCAATGAAAATATATTTTAAAAAATGCTTATCTTCCTTAGGTGATAGTAACGTATTTGTGCAAGCACTGCCACAAAAATTTGACCTGAGATTTCTACTTGATGCCTTGGGGGAAAAGAAATAGAGACTCAGTAAATAGCTATAAATTCACAGTGTAACCCAACAAAAATATAGCTTGTGGAAATTAGACAAGGCAATAATGTGTATAGGAAAACACTGGGGCCTGAGCATTGCCATAATGATAACAGTCTCAGGGTTTCTCTACCTCCCACATAGCTGCAAACCTCTGATTTTTCTATCAACAATTTGTTACAAGGTAATGGAAGGGCAGAGGTCAGATTGGGTTACTAGAATGACAGAAAGAAAGCAATGTGAAAAATGGGTTTTATCGAAACAAGTGACTGTATGCTTTAGTACTATTCTCCAGGCTAGCTATACATTTGTGGAAGGTGATAAATGGGAGACTCTGAAATACATCTTTAAGAATGGTCATCTTAAAAATAGGAAATAGGGGGCTGGAGAGACATTTTAGTGGTTAAGAATATGCACTGCTTGTGCTAGCATCCATGCTAGGCAGCTCACAACTTCCTGTAACTCGAACTCCGGGGAATCCCAACCTCATTTCCCCTTTTCATTTTTTAAAAATACTTATTTCTATTTTAGGTGTATGAGTGTTTTTGCCTGCATACAGGTATGTGTGCCAGGCATATGCAGTACCTGAAGAGGCCAGAAGGCAGCATCAGAGCCTCTGGCACTACAGTTATAGGCTTGTGAGCAGCTCGGTTTGGATGCTTGGAATAGAATCTGGATTCTCTGCGAGAGCAACAAGTGCTCTTAACTGCTGGGCTATCTGTCCCACCCCATATCCTCTTTTTTTCAATTAAAAAATGTGCATAGGGTATATTGCCTGCGTGTATGTCATTGTCCAGCCCCATGTCCTCTACTTATACCACAGATTTCACACAATTAGTGCTGCCCATCTATGCATGGGTATGGGGCCATCCACTGGAGCATGTGCAAGCTACCCTTAAAGAGATCTGATTCTTCCTCACCTAGTAGCCATCAACTGTCAATAGCTCCTCAGCTAAGGGTGGGGTCTTGTGAGTCTCTCTCCTACCCATGCTGGAAGGGTGACTGGCTTGATCTTTCACAGGCAACAACTATTGTGAATTTGACTTCAATGGTCATGTTCAGAAGATTCTATTTTTCAGTAGTCCCCCAACCACTGGCACTTACAGTTTTTGCACCTCTTCTTCTGCAATATTCTCTGAGTCTTGGGGATAGAGAGTATGTGATAGGTATTCCATTTATGTTAGCCAATATACTTATCTGACAACTCCGAAAACGTTGCTAAAATTACCCAAAGGGGCCAGGGAATGAGTCAGGGAAACATACCAGTCATCACGTAGACTCACACCCCGTTTCCTAGTAACAGTTCACACCCGTGATTGTCACTCAGGAAAAGCGAGGCTGGCAAAGCCCAGCAAAGAAAGCAGCAGTGCAGAGACCCATGCTGGCCATCTGGTATCCGGCCACTTACAAGTGGAAACCCAGCTCTCATGTAAGACTTGACTAGTTAGTAGGACGGCACCTACTTCAGCCTGGAGCCCGTAGAGGCTCCAGGAAACTTTCCGTAACCCTCCTAGTTACAAATAAAAGAGAACATTTACTACATTCATAGTTATACCCAGACCCAAACAGAATGGGGAAGACAAGAGTGTTTCATCTGAGCTTATTTTCTTGCCTGAACTAGTTTTCAATAGAGACAACTTCAAGTAGTTGATATAAGGTCTTTGGAGTTGGTATTGTACAGGAAAGTTAATTAAAAAAAAACCAATTCCATTTGGAGATGAATCCACAACTATAGCAATCCCCTCTCCCCCCTTTCCTGCCCTGCAAAACAAAAGAGAAAAGAAAATGGCATTAAGGTTGATGGCATCACTGAACCTCCTGCACTAGAGAGAAGTATCAACAGAAATAGTAATTTGGGGTTAAAGATTTTAAGAAATTAAGAGAACATTATACCTACTGTTTTTGTTTGTCTGTCTTCTTTTCAAGACTTTAAGGTTGCAGAAGTTCCTGTTCCTTCACAAAACAGGTCAAGATTCAGTATCCACATACTGCTAAGTGATTTACTTAATTACCAGTTTTCAGGTGTGCTTAACAGTATTTAACAACTATTAATATTGGGGAAACAAGAGGATTGCTCAAAATCAACAAGATCTAAATTGCTATGTAATATCTTTAAAAATGGAAACTGGAAACACAGAGAGATGGTGCTGCTGTAAGAACATAGAGAACAAATTCATTACTTGCCACCAGAGGGCAACCTTGTTTTGCAGTGGAGAAGATGTGCAAGGTGCTCACAATTTAGCGTGGGTGATACATCTGATATGTCATTATATGGCAAAAATTCTCCTTTCACAGTTTGTCCCATGATACAGAGAACTTTTACGGCCATGACAAACTGCCTGTGTTTCTCAGGGAGGTAAGAAAGTGTCTTGTTCCTGCTATTAGCCTGCTGTTCTTTATGCCAGAAGAATCTGCAGTGCAAAGGAATTATCTACTGAGACTCAGACTTAGGGTCCTGTTTCCACAAGGACTCAAGACAGACAGCCAGCCAGCCAGAGGATGGAAAATGATCTCAAAGTACCCCTTCCATTAAGGGCAGGGAATCAAAATGCATTACATGCATGTATGGATACTATATAACTTTCCATAAGGGTACTTCTCTTTGCTGTATTAGTCTCAGCAACTCTTAACTCCCTGGCTTCTTTCTCTAAGTTCATGTTCATTTCATAATCAGTAGTACATTAAGACAAAACTCTTTTGATTATAGGTAGCTGGCCTTCAAATTTTCCTTATGGCAACAAAAACAGACTAATACAATGACCCTTAAGGTCCTCTCTCTGTGTCTTTCCTGCTTCTTTGTATATCAGATTAACAATGGGTGAAGGGAAGGAGATAAGACCAAAAAAGTGGCCAATATTCATTTTATAGTTTGATCCCAATTCTGGAAAATATGCAAATGAGGAAAGGTTGGGAAAAAATAACACAGTGGAATATGATTCAGTCATTAAAACAATATTTAGGAGACAATGACTGTGCTTGTGTTGTGCAGAAAAAAAAAGTAGGTGTGGGTTGGAGAGGTGGCTCAGTGGGGAAAGCAGTACCTGATATGTACCTCTGGCTTCCACGAAAGCCTGCTTATATGGGCAAGCACACCCTCAGACATGGCTTCACACCTACATACCCCACCCCCACCCCCACCAATCAGTCAATCAACAAAAAAGGAGGTGTGTGCATGGTACTACATTTTGTTTTGTTTTGTGTGTTTACACCCTCTTCTTCATTCATAACTAGCTCTAGGGATAGTTACATTCAATTTACATCTGTGTGTGCTTTTTGTATTTTCCATTTTCTATTATAAACACGAACTGTTTTATATTTATTAAAATATAATTAAAATCCAGCAAAGATTAAGTACAGGGTTGAGAAAGGAGAGAAAGGAGTCTTCTGTTAGAAAAAGAACTCTGCTTTTCACATAAGATTACCCTCACCAAAAGGCATGCCAAAAAGGGTTGGACTGTGCCTGGCTGCCTTATTAGGTTAATTAAAATTTGCCCTCCCAAGATTTTCCACTATACCCCATGTACACACCCATGACAGATGCTAATGTTACACAAAAGGCATGCAGGAGGCAGACCCGGAAAGCAACATTCTTGGACATGTTTACCTGGTAAGAGCAGACATCTGCTAAGGAAGTCCACTTCACCACTAGTGGAGGATGTGCACAAGCCAAGCAGCAAGATTTTCTTAAAATCTTCTCTTCTAAACACAGATTCCTGTCCCCCACGACTGGCAAATCAGGAGGCTTGGAAGATACCAACAGACAGACATAAGCCTGTCTGGGAACCAGGCTCAGCTATAATCGTTGAGGCTTGGCCCCAGTGACCTACCTCCTCTACCTCTGCCTCACTTCCTAAAGTGGCCACCACCTCTGAAACAGTAAGCACCACTATCTGGGGACCAAGGGTTCAAGCACATGAACCTGTTGGGGCATTCACATCATACATCTGAAGAGCTGTTTTCTATACCTGCATGCACAGGCACCAAGTTTTGTGATTAAGTCTTTAGCAGTTTAAATTCCACAGTCTAAAGACTGATAACATTTTGTGGTTTTATTTGATTGCTTTTTTTAAAAGACAGGGTCTTGTTATTCACATCAGGCTATTATCTACACAATTTTCCTACCTCAGCTTCCTGAGTCCTGGGGTTAAAGGAATGCATCGCCATACCTGGTTCAAGACTGATACGACTTTGTGTGGTATTTGTGTGTGGAGTATGTGTGTAGGCACATATGAAAGTATAGGGAGGGGTACACATGAACATGTGTGCACATTCAGAAGCCACACAGAGAACTGATGTCAGTCTCTATTGTTCTTTGCCTTAATTTTTTGCACAGGGTATCTCACTGAACCTGGAGGTTGCTATTTGGGGTAGACTGGCTGGCCAGTGGGCCTCTAGGATCTACCAGTCTCCTCCCTGCCTCAGCACAAGGTTTACAAGTGAGCACAAAAAACCATCACAAGACCAGGAGACAGGAGGGGATGGGAAGGGACCAGCCTGTGACCTTGGTAGACCTTGTCTCTTAAATGTCCACTACAACACTGCTGCCAGTATCTGAATCCTTGGGGGCACTCAAACTGCTATAGTCAGTACTCAACTGCACCCAATTTTTACTTGGGTATTGGGTCCTTATGCTTACCTGACAGGCACTTTACCATCAGAGCCATCTCCCCAGCCCCAAGACTGATAATATCTGAAATGCAAAATAAAATAAAAAGGCAACAGCAGCAGTGAGCAGGGTTCCTCAATCTTAGTCCTGATCCCAGAAGGCAGAGCCTTCTTTGTTGTAAGTTATTTCTACCAAGGGCCTTGTGGAGCCTGCCTGTCCCTGAGAGTGGAGATTTTTGCTCCAACTTAAAGGGCTACAGCTAAAAGAGGTGAAAAACAATTGCTTAAAGTTAGCAACCCATAGCCCATTGCCAGAGTATATTGTATACACAAGTTGACTGGCATTCAGCAAGTTCAAATGGCTTCAACATAGATTCTCTGGCCCACAAAACATAAACCATTAGACAATATTTGCTGACTACCATGGACTGAATACAATGGTTTGAGTGTGCACCCAAGGATTCAGATGCTGGGCGCAGTTCAGTAGCGGACATTTAAGAGGCAAGCCCTCTTGAGGTCAAAGGCTGACCCATCCCCTCCTCTGTCTCCTGTTCTTGTGATGTAATCCCTCTTGCATATTCTTACCATGTGATGTGATAACCATGAGGTTAGTACAGTTACAAGGGCCCTTGCATGAGCCAAACCTATACTATTTGGACTTTAAGGTGCCAAAACCATGAGCTAAACAAACCTCTGTATTTTAATAAGAAGCCAACCTCACATATTTCCTTTTACTAACAAAATACAGACTAAAGCAATCACCCCCTAATCTCTCGGTCTTTCCTGGTCAAAGGCAGGTTTTTCCATTTCTACTATAGAAAACAACTGCTTCAACCCATCCTGCCTGATGATGTTTACAGGGACATCTGTAAGTGGACACACCTCACAAACACAACCAACTGTTTGAACAAGAGGTCCAAGAAAGGACTATGAACAAGGGATGCTGATCACTACATACTCAATCAACACCCAGTCAAAACACTAAGGCAGAATCATTCCCCTTCTCCCATCTTTTCTTTGACTACTCAAAATACAGTTCAAAAGTTCCCATCATGGGGGTTGGAGAGATGGCTCAGCAGTTCTATTCCCAGCACCCACATGGCAGCTCACAATCTGTAACTCTAGTTCCAGGGGATCTGATGTCTTCTGGTGGGCTCCAGGCACACACGTGTTGTACAGACATACATGCAGGCAAAACATCCCTACACACAATAAAATTTAAAAAATTTAAAGCTCGCAATATTGATGGACACAGCAGCCGCTCCAAAAATAAGAATTCTCCACTATTCCAGATCTGGAAGCTACCATATGGTCCAGAGAATCTACCCTGAAATAAATATACCAGAGAAACAAAGCATGTCCACAGAAGCACTTTCATTCAAGTGTTCAGGACCTCATTTTCCAGAGCAAACAAAAGATACCCATCAACTGATAAAAGCAGAAAAATAAATCCAAAAATGCCTGAAATATCTCATTTTAGTAAAAGTTAAATCCATTTTCACTAATTCTGCTTTATCTTCTGAAAATGACATAGCAACAATTTCCAAAGGTCTATTTAGTGCATGGTCTGCACAAGTGGATCTGTGTATGAGCACACGGAGCTCAGAAGTCAACCTCATGTGAAGTTATAAACATAGCTGCCTCTCCAGGCTCTTAAATGGGTTCTGAATTCAGGTCCTTATACTTGAGAGGTAAGTACTTTACGAAGTGGGCCATTTTGTTGGCCCCTAAGTGTCCCAGTTTGTGTTTAAAATTAGGAAAGCTTTGTGGGGTTTTGGAAGTGAATAAGAGTTACTTAAAAAGGTATTTAAATTGAAGCTGAACATATAAATACAACACAACTCTAAAATTAAAAGCAAATAATTATGCATTCATTTATTTGCTTGCTTATTTTACTGCAGTGTTAGGGATGAAGCCCAGGGCTTCGTACATGAGAAGCAAATGCTCTAGAGCTGAGGTGCATCCCTAACTCCAAGTAAGACCTTCACTCCACAGCATCAGGTTTATTTTGGATGTGCATTTCAAGTGATCAGTTGGCACTCACACCACTGTCTGCTGTCTGGTAAATTCTTGTATGTGACTAAATTTATGCAGAGTAATCTGTATGACTTCCTACAAAATTTCAAAGTCAGGCAGCAAGTCAATCTGCAGACAATTACAAATCATATTCACAAACTAATGAAGCAGAGAATTCACATGTGGGATCCAAATAAAAGCTATATTCCTGCGCCCCATTCTAATAAGAGATGCAGCTTCCGTGTAGCTCATGATATTGACAAGAAAGATTGATTTTTGAAGGTGTTGTCTCCTCACAGTGACACTTGGAGAAGTTTATTTTAGCTCGACCAAGATTCAAAACTCTTAGAGGGTCATAAAAGGTGAAAAGTAACCAAGGAAGCCATAATTGGTTTCTGATGTTCCTTCCTTCCAGCTTTCCCTCCCTCCCTCCTTCAATTTCAGCAGAAAGACCTGCAACTTCTTCCTAAAAATAATTTAACAAGTACAGAGCTTTGCAGAATGCAGGCCTGTTTCTCAAATGGATGGCAGGCACAAAATGGAGGGACCCCATGGAAGGATGCTGCTTACCGTCACAGTGAGTGCATGTGTAGATCTCTGAAGCAGTGGGCTACCCAGCATCCAATTACAGACCTTGAGAGGTGCCCACAAAGACAAGGACCACCCTGCAAAGAAACAGAAAGACTTGTAAACAAATGTCATAAAAACCCATGAAGGCATATCCCCTTCTCCCCCCTATGTCCCCTTAGGGATCCTTCTCATTCTAAGTCAATTTTACACGTTTTATTTGCTCATTATTTTTTGTCCTCACCTTTTGTATGAAGATACAGGTTCTAGATGAAAAGAATACAAAATGAAATAGGGATTAAAATAGCTAGCCAGGCATTATTATACATGTAGCCATTCTGACATGATAAAATCACTACTAGCATAGATTTTGCTGCTGCTATCACTTAATAAAATTGTCCCAGGAGGCATCTTAGTTTTTTAGGGCAGTGCTTTATGCGACCAACAACCTGCGCACAACCTCAGGTAAAGACATGCATAACATTTAGAGTAAACCTAGCATGCTTGTTGGTACATCAGCATACATGCTCATATCGTATCTTTGGCTCCTCTAAAAGCAAAGGCATCATTAACTAATACACCTTTATTCTTTTGTTTCCCTCAGTGCTGGTGGTAAAACCTGGAGCCTTGCAGGAGCCAGGCAAGAGTTTGACCAATGAACCATACCCTAGCTCCATTTCAACCTTTCGAGTGCTGTTTTATGAACTGCCATTTCAAAGGATTCTGCCTGAATTTATTTATCTAACCTACTTGCTTATTTGTTAATTTATTTAGTGTGTATCTGTGTGTGCACTTGAGGCACACAGAAGACAACATTACAAAGTCAGTTCTCTCCTTCCACCATGTGTGTCCCTGTGATCAAACTAAGGCTAGTCAACAAGCTTGCTTGCTACTGGGTACCTTTATCCTCTGAACCATCTTGCTGGTCCCTCAAGTGACTTAGAAGAATCTAGGCTTCTAGCTCTTGAAAACATCATACAAAAAATTGCTTTAGGGGCTGGAGAGATGGCTCAGTGGTTAAGAGCACTGGCTGCTCCTGCAGAGAATGCAGATTCAGTTCCCAAATCCCATATGGTGAGCTGGCTCATAACTGTAACTCCTGTTCCAGGAGATCCATTACTCTGTTCTCTATAGGCATGATGCATGAATGTAGTGCACATACATACATACAGAAATTCACACATACACATAAATTTTTTAAACCTATTTTTATTGTTATTTTTCAGTACGTAGGAACACAAATCAGCTAACCATCGGGTGCCTAACAAGATGTACTCCTAGCCGTGCATATTTTTTTTTTTTAGTTATTAATGAATCCCACTCCTGGAGTTCAAATGATCAAAAACCATTGGAAAATGCAAGAACCAAGGAAATGAAATTCCCGCCTCTGGAATTCTTACTCCATCATCTTGAACAATTGCTAAAAGGTGCAGGTTTGTTGCAACTCAAAGCCACCAGTGAAGCTGTGAGGGACAGTGCTCCTTATAACCCATCATAAACTTTTTCCAGGAAACTCAAGCAAATCACTCCTACAGAGTTATGTTTATAGTTCCACTATTTAAAAGAAGGAAAAGAAAGTTTTGACAGGCAAGTTCATAGGCCTCCGAGTTTCATTCAGTATTAAACAAGAAAGAAATCTTAAGGATTTGGGGAATAAAAATAAAAAAATTCACCTACAAAAATCTCTGAATGGAAATTAAAAGGCACCAAACCAGAATGAGCCAGGCACAAAGGAACATAAAAACAAATTTTGTTATGAGAAATGCAGTGGGCAAGAGGGATTGGAGAGATGGCTCAGTAGTTAAAGAGTAACTGCTCACTTGCAGAGGACCAAGATCAGTTCCTCGCACCCACACGGCAGCTCCAATTATCTATAACTATTTTTTGAGAATTTGGCTTCCTCTGGTACTGCATATGCATTCGATACCTACATACTTACACAGGCAAACACTCATATACATCAAATAAAGATAAGCAAATCTTTTTGAAGAGGAAAAATGTGGAAAAGGGACAAAACTCTTTGAAGGAAGCTGAAGGGGAAGCAAATGACTACTCAGGGTAAGATATAAATTATGAGGTGGGGGATAAGCCTTATGATGAAATAGCTAAATGCTACAAAGTATCAAAATATAAGCAGCTGTCACCACAATAAGCTCCAAATTGCCTGTAAATTAAAAGATTAAACCCTATCATAATTCAATAAGCAATTAATATACTAACACTTCTTATTACAAGCTGTTCAGAAAAAAACTTTAGAAGTGAGTTCCTATTTTCCTTAGTCCAAAACAGATGGTAACTCACAAATCAGAGTTTCAAAACTGAAGACTATCTTTTATATATGTTGTGAAACTCTGTAAGCCTAATTGATTTTATCATCTGTGTATGATCAACATACACACATATAGACACACATACACACACAAAGGGGAATTATGACTTTGGTTAATAACATTCTTCTGGTTATACAACCTGTCAAAAATAATTAGCTGATTGCTGAAAACAGTAAATTAAAACAAGAAACCAATCCATCTAATAGCTGGTTTAGACTTATTTCCCCTTGATTAGTGCCATAAACAGAAGCAACATCAATAGTTGGTGTTCTCAGGGCCGGGGAGATGGCTTCGTTAAGTAAAGTGCTTGCTTTATAAACATGAGGACCTGAGTTCAGATCCCTAGAACCCATATAAAACCCGGGTATGTCACTGGACATCTGTAACCCTAAAGTTGTGGGGTAGGGATATGCAGATCACTGGAGTTCACTGGCCAGACAGTCTAGCCGATCAGTGAGCTCCAGGTTCATTACAAGTTTGCCTTGGTCATCGTCTTTTATACGAGCAATAGAAAAACAACTAAGAAACTCACTGTATTTTTACTGCGTAGCTAATTCCCTAAATTGGACACAGAATTCCTGGAGCATAAGTTATCCTCCAACCTTCCTTTCTCTCTCCACTCTATCCTGTATTTCTTTCTGTTATGTTATTCAAAGCATCATTTTTATGTTTCCTGATAAGAATGCCATCCCATGTTGATTTCTGCACTCTAGGTTGGATGCACCGTATGTACAGTAAATGTAGTTTGAAGGAGAGAGGGAGAGAGTGGAGGGTAGATGGACCATATATGGTCACAGAACATTGCAGTAGCTCATAACACATATTAACACTGTAATTACACAATCTCTCTGCCACATTTGTTTTCTTCCTGTGTGTCTTTATTGCAAAATACTACAAGGAAGTAAAATATTTTCAAAAGGATACTAGAAATCAGAAAGATTTCTTTGGAATTCTTCCTGTGTGGGTTGGAATCCAGGGAGTTGCATATGCTAAGCAAGTTTTTTACTACTGAGCAGTATCCCTGCCATGTTCTACTTTTCTTTTGGGGACAGCACCTCTTTAAATTAATGATGTAGAGTAGCCTTAAAAATGAGATCCTTTGGCCTCAGCCTCCTTCATGCAGAGGTTACAGGATTTAAGTAAGTACTCCTTCTACACAACCCTGATGTGACATACCAGCACACTAATGTCATATTTGAGTGTTCCCAATTCAGTACTTACCAACTTTTCTACCCTCCAACTCCTCATCCAGTTACTGTTCCACAAGGTTGAGAAGTCACACATATGTAGACAAATGTCCAAACTCAGAAATACCCTCTATTAAAAGCCATTCTGATGTCAAACAGGTAGGTTTCTTCATTCCCACTTTGTTATAAATCCTGTCAATCACTTTTTACAATGCTTCAGAAGAGCTCTGCATATTTGAAAAATACTCTAAAGAGTTTTTAGTTGCTTTTGTAATGTGCATTGGAGTTTTGCCTGCATGTATGCATGTGTGAAGATGTTGGATCCTGGAGTTAGACAGTGAATGTGTTGTGACTAGACATGAGTATAGGGATTGTGGGTCAGTGCTGGGACCACAAATAAGTACGACAAAGAGTACTCAGGATTTCAAACCAATGCCTGGATTACAAGTGAGCTTTGGGACTACAGGGAACATAGGATACTACTGAGATTTCAGGTGAAGGTAATGAGCGCACAGTGAGCTCTGGGATTAAAGGCAGACATGATAACACCTAACATTGCAGCAGCCCAGGCATAAACATTTCAGTGTGAACATGCATGTGTTGTGTGTAAGCCAGAGATTGACTGATATCAGTGGTTTCTTTGATTGCTCTGACCCTTATTTACCAAGACAGTCAGTCCCTCATTGCACAGAAAGCTCACCTGTTGAGCTAATCTAACAGCTTGTTCCAGGGATGCTTCAACCACCTGCACACTGGGCTCTAGTTAGGCTTTTCTGTAGGTTCTGGGGATCCAAAGCCAGGTCCTCATCTTTGTATAGCAAGCTAGTGGTTCAATGCACTGAGCCAAGTCTGATCACATGGAACTTTTAAACAACATAAAGGAACAATATAGATAAGCAGTAAATGATATCTAAAAGTGTTCTTCAAGGCAGTTGTTTAGGGAAATTACATTCTTAGCCTATCAGAAGAGCATTAGCAATTTAAAGAATCCTCTTTAAAAATGACATCAAATTTAAAAATATTTTCCTCACAAGAGGAAATCAAGACTTTTGACTCCAATACAACAAGAACATTCTAATTTGAGCTCCCTATGTTAAATATACACCAGCATTCTCAACATTGTTCTTTGTTTTTAGATGAAGCAAAATGAAATCACTTAACATAAAAATTAACCATTTTGAAAATGTGCACTTTGGCCAGGCGTTGGTGGCACACACCTTTAATCCCAGCACTCGGGAGGCAGAGGAAGGCGGATCTCTGTGAGTTCGAGGCCAGCCTGGTCTCCAGAGCGAGTTGGCACTCAAAGCTACACAGAGAAACCCTGTCTCAAAAAACAAACAAACAAACAAACAAACAAACAAAAAGAAAATGTGCACTTTGGTGGTATTTAGTACAATGATATTAAGGAACCACTACCTACAAAACACTTCCATCACACCAAAGGAAAACCTTCCACCTATTCACAGTCATTCTACCCCTCCTCTCAGGAGTATTATAATTGCTAGTTATATGTCCATGTCCATGCATTTGCCTACTCTGCACATTTCATAGAAATACACATCACACAGTGACCATTTGTGT